TATCTAAAGGTTAAAACGTTTCACGTTTAAAGGTTAAACGTTAAAAGGTTTCACGTGAGAAAAAGAATGAAGATGAGAATGAATGGGATATATTTGGGTCTTTTTCGAAACGTTCCCCTAATGGGATTCTTCGGGGCTTTTTTTTTTCCTTACTCAGGACATATTGAGGATACCAAATCAGAAGAGTTTGCTTCTGTTGCAATTTGTTCAACCTTTTTTCATAAAATGACTGGACTATTAAAGGGTTAGTTCACCCAAAAATGAAAATTAAGTCATTAATTACTCACCCCCATGCTGTTCCAACCCCGTAAGACCTTAAAGATATAAAGATATTTTTGATTGAATCTGAGAAGTGGATCAGTCCTACATAGACTGCCTAAGGGACTGGCTCTTGACGGCCCATAAATTCATTAAAGAAAAGGTTTACATATTCCATGTGCCTACAGCGGCTCAATTATAAGTTTATCAAGCGACGAGACTACTTTTTGTGCGAAAAAAAAACATAAATAACGACTTTATTCCACTATTCCAATACTTCCTTATGGGCGCATGCGCGAGAACTGAGACGAGGACGTTCTCATTCGACTTGTTACCGGCTGCTCACCGCTTAGGAGTTTTACCGCCCCCTACCGTATAAGATGATGTGCTGATATAGCTGGAAGCGCAAAACTTTCTGTTTACAAGCAGAGGAAGATGCGCGCTGTACATACGCTTTTCAATTAGCGTATTTTCCGCACTATAAGGTGCACTTAAAAGCCTTTAATCTTCTCAAAAAACGACAGTGTTCCTTATAATCCGGAGCGGCTTATATATGGATCATCATCTTATACGGTAGGTGGCGGTAAAACTCCTAAGTGGTGAGCAGCCGGTAACAAGAAGTAGACGAATGAGAACGTCCTCGTCTCAGTTCTCGCGCATGCGCCCATAAGGAAGTATTGGAATAGTGGAATAAAGTCGTCAATTATGTTACTGAAAGTGTCTTTTGGACCTTGAACTGTTTGGTTCCCATTGAAGTCCATTATATGGAGAAAAATCCTGGAATGTTTTCAACAAAAACCTTTATTTCTTTTCGACTGAAGAAAGAATGACATGGACATCTTGGATGACATGGGGGTGAGTAAATTATCAGCAAAAGTTTTTTCAAAAGTGAACTGCTCCTTTAATGCATTTATTAGTTATTATGGAAAAACACACATCTCTTACGTTCTCTCTCCCACTTAAACGAACACACATACAGTACAGACACACACTCGCACAGAAACGTGTTGTCAGCTCTGCTCTGACGTTTTTTATCAGTAAAATAGTTTAACAACTTAAAAGCTACGCGGTTCTCACTAGCGAGGTGCAGATAAACGTAGTTTCGCTAGACGCTGGTGGATATCACTGTTGGACTGAGGTAATTCACACATGCTTTCTCTCTCTCTCTAATAACTACACTCTGCTATCAGTGACTCAAGTCTCCATTATTAGCTCTAAAATTACATTTTGGAATTAGCTACGGAGGCTTGGGATTAGATGCGTAAGAAATTAGTCCTACACACAAGACCGTTTTAAGGACAAAAACCTCACGAACGTCTTGAAATGCATCATCTGAACAATGTTTTAAGGCGTGGCTGCATTATTTTTCTAATAATTCAACAGCCCGTCATCTATTATTCCTTACATATTACGTTGTGTGTGTCCCTCCTCACCCTGTCTCCTCGCTGTGCATTGTGAAAGCAGACTCGCGTGATTGACAGCCGTAGTGTGTGCAGTCAGTCGGTGTGAACTGGAGTGAGTCACAGCACACTCCACATGTTGGTAACACCAGCTGTCATCACCTGATTCTGTGGCTTATATAACCGCTGACTGACTCTGTCCTCAGACCTCCCTCTGTCTGTGTATAAATGTTTTTAATCTTCCTTGCCCATCACCCTTCTGGCTTTTTATTTCCCCAATCCATCTTTCTGCCTCTTAAAACACTCGATTGGGTTTTATTGTGGCCCTTTACTTTGCTCTCTTACATTGTTTGCGGCCCGTCCTTGTCTTTCAGCGCTTATCCATCTCTGTTGCCAGGGGTTTCATCATTTCCTCTCTCTCGTTCCACGCTCTCCAATGCGCTCACAGTGCAGTGATATGGCTCAGTAGTGTCTGATTCCAGAACAGCTTCACTCAGGGCCATAGTATGATGTGTCAATTAATCTGCTGTTAAGACATTATTCTGCATGCAGTAGATTAGTTTCTAATGTTAGAAAGAGGATCTTGTTAACATGTTTACTAAATGAATGTTTTGGGGGTTAGTCTCTGTTATCTTACAGTATTTGTTTCTTTTATTGATTTGTTGGTGTGCTCAAAATACTTTTGTCTTTTTTTAATTAATTATTGTTATTATTTTTTTTATTTGATCATAAAATGTTTTGTCCAGCAAAATATCTTAGAGAATGAGAAGGTCCCTTCTTGCTCGTATTATCACCGTGTAGTTGATTTATGATGAAATGAAAAAATAGTAAAGAAAAACTAACACGAAAAGTTGAAGCTTTATACATATCGTATATCTTATTTTATGATCTAATCATTTTCACCACTTTTAATCGCCAATGGTTCTGTATGTGAAGTATTTGGACTATGAAGTATTATGTAATATTTCATAATATTTAAGCGGAAAATCTCTGAATTTCTGTAACACGGCAGGATTGAATAAATATTTTTTTAAAGTAGTTTCATATAAGCGTTAAAAATGAAAATTACCGCACTACCAGTGTTGGGAAAGCTCCTCTGAAACTGTAGTTTGACAAGCTACAAGCTACTCGTAATTTAATGTAGTTAAACTACAGTCAAGCTTCCCTTTTTGAAAACTAGTTAGCTACACTACAAGTTAATATCAAAAAGTAGCTAGTTACATTGAAACTACTTTTGCTTTTTGAACAACGTATATTATAAATAACTGAATAAGTGTCTGAGGAATGTTTTAAGTAAAATATTTAGTGTTTAAAACAATGCAATACAATTATGATTTCAAAGAGTATTGTTTTATTACACACAACACTCAAATATCTCAGACTGTTTGTCAAAAGCGCAAAATTGCAACAAATAGCCGACAACATTGAAAGAACAAAATATACGTCCAACGTAAATTGCATGTAGAACATTTTCTCAAAAATACCGATTGAACTTGGACAAATAAGGCCATGGGTAATTAACGTTAGTTGTTTCTAAATCCTACAAATCTGCCGTCACGTCTTGCTATATAATCGTAATATGCGTGTGTCAACCCACTTCTATACGTCAGTGAACCGTTAGTTGCAAGATGTGTGATTAAACAACAGGTGGCGGTATTGGCAAAAAATTAGTTTGCAATCTAACAAGAATATCCTTGCATCGCGCTGATTCGCGCAGGCTCGACAAACGCAATGTAGCTTTTGCTCGCGCTACACCGCTACTTGCTGCAAAAAGTAGTTAGCTACTGGAAAAGCTACACTGTTTAAAAAGCAACTGAGCTACTGCCAAGCTACTGAAAAATGTTGTTAAGTTAGTAGCGTCGCTACTTGTAGTTAACTACTCCCCAACACTGCGCACTACAAATGAAAAATAATCGCAGGAAAACTGTATTTTACATTATTCATTTTTAGGGTAATACTTAAATTGTCAATTAGCACCCAATGTCTGTGTGTGTGTGTGTGTGTCTTGGTCAAATTTATCCTCATTTTATTTCAAGTTTTCAAAATGTAGTTTGAATAAATATTTTTATGATTGTAGACAAAGCCTTTTTTTCAGCCAAATGGTGACAGAAACAAAAGATGTACAGCCGTTTTCTTTGAGCACAGTAAAATTACATGTCAACTTCCCAAACATCACTTGTGTCCAATAAGCACAAAGCAAGTAGCAGATTTCGGTTAATTATGTGTAGGGTTGGGTATCGTTTGAATTTGAACGATTCTGATTCCGATTCCGATTCCTTGTTTCGATTCCGGTTCCTAACGATTCTCGATTCCGATTCTTTTAACAGGCAGGGTCAAAAAAGTTTAGCTAACCTTGCTAACCAACGGTCTTTCTGAAGGAAATACTCCTTCTGTCACAAATACTCCTTTTGTCACAAATACTCCTTTTGTCACAAATTTTGCATTTAGCCGAGATTTCGTTATTTTTAGAAAAGTGAAGCCACACTTTGGACCGCCGACGTAAGCTACTCATGTTCGACTCGCGCGGTTATGAACACTTCCGGTAGACGCTTCTTCGTTGGTGTTCAGCGGTTTCTTCTTCCGCTCGGCGGACTGTGAATATCGAAACCAGGAATCGAAATTTTAACTTTTGAACGATTCCGGGAAAAACGAAAAGTTAGTCTCGGTTCCAATCGATACTCGATTCTCGATACCCAACCCTAATTATGTGCCTTTGGTTGTGCTAATGCTCATACTTAATTACTTTCCCAACCACAAGCTGGTTGAAATGTATACATTTTTAAAGGGATACTCCACTTTTTTTTTAGAAATAGGCTCATTTTACAACTCCCCCAGAGTTAAACAGTTGAGTTTTACCGTTTTCGAATCCATTCAGACGATTTTCTGATATTTACTGTAGAAGAATATCAGTAACAGACAGTTTCTGGTCTCACTGAGACCAGAAACTGTCTGGTTACTGATATTCTTCTAAATATCAGAAAATCGGCTGAATGGATTCAAAAATGGTAAAACTCAACTGTTTAACTCTGGGAGAATTGTAAAATGAGCCTATTTCCAAAAAAAAAGTGGAGTATCCCTTTAAAGAGTCTCTATTGATTCCATCCATGGTACAAACAGGTTATTTAAAAAAAAAATATATATGTATTGCTATGTACTCTTTCTGTTTCAATAGGGAATACTTGTCCTTACTTTTAGGGAATTTTTAATGCAAGTGTCCATCAGACCTTTTCATGGGGTTTTTTAAATTGGATGGATGGTAGCTTTTTCTGCTGATAACTGTAGTCTGTCGAGAGACTTCTGTGAATGATTTGTTGGGTAACCGTTTGTCTTTGGTATTGGCAGATACGGTGTCAGGCAAACTGCAGAACAACAATATCTACACCATTGCCAAGAGGAACGTAGAAGGCCAGGACATGCTGTATCAGTCGCTCAAACTCACTAACGGGATCTGGATACTCGCCGAACTGCGCATACAACCTGGCAATCCCAATTACACGGTAATCACTCACAGCACGAAGATTCAACAATTGGGTATTCAAACAAAGTCCAACTCTGCGAATGCTTGCCAATTTAACACAAAAGAGCAAAATAAATCTTGTCCCTTGACAAACAAAATGCTTTTGACATTGTCCAGAACATATTCAAGGACGTCCTTCATCCCTCACTTTGACAGAATACTATACTTAACTTATTTTTATATCCACTTATTTGTTCACCAATCCACTCCAAGGTTTCAGCACATAATTATGTAATTCACTGCTTTGAAGATCAGGCTTTTAAAACATGATGAATTCATGACCCTGAAAGCCGTGTTTTTTGCTTGACTTGCTTGCCTAATGCATTAAATGAACAGGAAGGTCAAAAGCAGCATGATGCGTTCAGACAAGGCTTGTTGTCGACAGGTAGAGTATTGATCCCCGTTTTGGTTCGCGGATCTCCAGTGCCCTGGGGAACATTCCTGAATTATCTTCACAAACAGCAACATGCACGACTTTGGATATGTGACAAACAGAATCTCAATAAGTGGCCGCCCTCTCCTCTGTGATTTTGTATTAAGTCAACAAATTTAGAAAAATTATAGTCTACTTTTTTTTTTCTTTGAAAGTGTGCCTCTGAGAGAACACGCACTAATTCATTAAAAGAACTAGCTCTTAAGAGTCATTCACTTGTGAATCAGACTATGCTAGTTGAGTGCAGCTTATAAGAACAACCCATTTGAAATAATTTATTGACTTTTTAAGACAAACACCTGGATAACAGAGTAATGCATTCAACTTTGGTGAGACACTTAGCTTGGATAAAATCTAATTTCTTTTGATGTGTTGCCGCAAAAGATTCAGTGGCAGAATGCAATAACTGCTTCCAGATGATAATTATAGTAGTGTATATATATAGTATAATAATAGTTGTTCATGTACTTTCGTCATGTAAGATGTTATCACATGACAACTCTAACTAGAAAGTGAAGTGAGATATACATTTTTAAAAATGAACAATTTAATTATTTCCCCACCAGCATTTAAATTTATTTTTGATAATATTCATTAAACATTCATGCCCCCCCCCAGAATATTTTGTATCGTAAACAGTCAATGTATTAAAAGCAAGCAATGCATTTCGTTCTTTTTATCAACACTTAAATGTGGTAAGTTTCATTTTAAAAAAAAAACACATTTCGAACATAAAGCTTAGAAAATTGCATTTTTGTTAAAGACTAAGAGAAATTCGTCAATGGTGGGGAAAGAGTTAAACATTTCGTACACTTTTTTCAAATCATCATTAAAGGAGTAGTTCACTTTTCAAAAAACTTTTGCGGATAATTTACTCACCCCCATGTCATCCAAGATGTCCATGTCATTCTTTCTTCAGTCGAAATGAAATTAAGGTTTTTGATGAAATCATTCCAGGATTTTTCTCCATATAATGGACTTCAATGGGAACCAAACAGTTCAAGGTCCAAAAGACAGTTTCAGTGCAAACTGTTCAAAGGGCTTTAAACGACACCATACGATAAATAAGGGTCTTATCAAGTGAAACGATCGCTCATTTAAAAAAAAAATAACAACTGATCGAACTTGTTCATCAAAATGAATGAATCTTTTTCCGATTCAATGCCAAATTACTAGAAAAAAGATTCGTTCATTTTGATGAACAAGTTCGATCAAGAGAGTCACGAACGCGCATCACAGAACAGAGCAAGGCGACCATTTGAGCTTATAAAACTTAAACTTTGTGTTTTTTGACTGCTCAAAAAACACAATGATAAATATCATAAATTACTTGATCATTTATGATATTAATGATCATAAATGAGCGCTCGTTTCGCTTGATAAGATCCTTATTCATCGTCTGGTGTCGTTTAAAGCCCTTTGAACAGTTTGCAGTGAAACTGTCTTTTGGACCTTGAACTGTTTGGTTCCCATTGAAGTCCATTATATGGAGAAAAATCCTGGAATGTTTTCATCAAAAACCTTCATTTCTTTTCGACTGAAGAAAGAAAGACGTGGACATCTTGGATGACATGGGGGTGAGTAAATTAAAAGTTTTTATAAAAGTGAACTACTCCTTTAAAGCTAGGGTAGGCCGTTTTGGAGAGGGAAATCTAGCTTTCAAATCTAGCCACATCTCCTCCAAAAGACATGAACATGCACAGCCAGAGTAGAGTTTGCAAAGTGTCACAGTGTTAAAATACCTCATGTCTCAAAGCACATAACATTACAATATTAATTATTAATAAACTTACAGCGCTCTTACTTGTACCACCTGACTTCTGCAGAGTGATGCGCCGAGGTTTGAAAATACATGTTGACAGGCAGGCAGGCAGGCAGACATTCGGGCCAAATTAATGATCTAACAAACGTTTTTTGCTCATGGGACTTCCACAGAACATATTTAGACAACTTCTGTTATTGATTCCTGTCAGGATATGAACAGAGTTTCAACCCGTATAACAAAAAGAGTTTATTAAAAACATTGCCTACCCTACTCTTAACTTACCTTTTTGTAGTTTCAGCCTTTTTTCTTTCGTGAAACACAAAAGAAGATATTTAACAGAATGTCCAAGCTTCACTTTTCTCATATAATTTATTTTTAATGATGACAGCAGCTGTCCCTGCTTTCCATCCACTTTCACTGTGTGGGAAAAAAAGGCAGCTTGTGCATTCTGCTAGAATCTTAACAGACTTTTAGGTGAATTTTATTATGTGCAGGAATGAACACATTGTATCCATGGGGTGGTGATGGCGCAGTGGATCAGACACATGCCTTTGGTGTGAGAGACCCGGGTTCGAATCCACTGTGAGACACCAATGTGTCCCTGAGCAAGACACTTAACCCCTAGTTACTCCAGAGGCATGTGACCTCTGACATATATAGCAATTGTAAGTCGCTTTGGATAAAGGCGTCAGCTAAATGAATAAATGTAAATGTGAACATCAGAAATTCTTCACAAACCTCTCATCGGGTATCAAATCTGGTTGCGTTTTTGTAGTTGAGATGTAAAGTATGGCAATTAGTGCTCGTCATCCGTTCGATGTTTGTACTTGCAAGTTTTATATTATTCATGCGGAGCCAAACAGCAGCGGCCAAACTGTGAATTGAAATGGTCTTTTGCTCAGTGAGGCTGAGCACCTGCAGTGAACCTTTGCTTGGCGACAGCATGAATAAGCTCCAGCTGCACATTTGACCGTGGTTTGTTATAATCATATGAGTGAGCTTGAGCCAAATTACAGCATCACATTCTACAGTTAATGCTCGTTCTTTAAACACAAAGCACTGGGATAAAACTGGCTTTATGACAAGCTAGACAGAAAATCCCTCTTCAGAACTTCACAACTGACTGCTAAGCATGAAGTGATGTGTAATGTGCAGATGGGCAGCATCTGAAGCCTGGAAAATGCTGTCTTAGTTTGCAATTGTAGTGTAGGGATAGGAATTGTAAAGAAATGGTTCTGGCTCTTCTTACGGTTCCTTCACAGCACTTGTAAGGAATAAATATTTTCGGAGGAAAAAATTATACATTTAAATTTAATATACATTGTTTATAAGTTTAGCATTCAGTGTGGAGTTTGAGTGTTCATATCTATTTCGGACTTTCTCCGGTGGATGGTTGCAAAATTTCTGTTTAAACGTTAAAGGGATAGTTCACTATATTAATTTTTGATATGTTTTAGCTTACCTCAAGGGCATCCAAGATGTAGGTGTCTTTGTTTCCACAGTATTTTCAATTTTGACATTTTTCGGTCAAACCGTTCTTGTCTGTCAGTCATATAATGCAGGTTTAGGGGGTCCACCTCAAAGAGCATGCACAGAGAAGTCCAAATTAAACATGATTTAATGACTCGTAAATGTAAGTAGACACTGATGCGAGCAGTTTGTGTGAGAAAACGAACAGTATCTATAAAGTTTTTACCTCGTGTAATAACATTCACGTCCAAGTGATCTGAATCAGTTGTGCAATGTTCAAACTGAACCATGCCCAACGTTTCGCCGGAAGCGTCGACGTCACTCATTATTTACGCAGAGATTTCGGAAGTTTTACCTTTCACTGTGAAGATCTAAACATATTTAGATATACAGGAAATCACAATGGAAGACGATTTCGGTATATCTAAATACGTTTAGTGAAAGGTAAAACTTCCGAAATCTCCGTGTAAATATTGAATGACGTATCATTTCCGGTGGAACATTGAACATGATTCAGTTCGGTTCAGTTGGACATTGCACAACTGATTCAGATCACTTGGTCGTGACTGTGATTACACAAGGTAAAAACGATATAAATACTGTTCGTTTTCTCACACAAACCGCTCGTTTCTTGTCTTAGGCCATCAATGTGTTCTTTCATTTACGAGTCATTAAATCATGTTTAATCTGGACTTCTCTGTGCATGCTCTTTGAGGTGGACCCCCTAAACCTGCATTATATGACTGACAGACAAGAACGGTTTGACCTAAAATTGTCAAAATTGAAAATACTGTGGAAACAAAGACACCTAAACCTTGGATGCCCTTGAGGTAAGCTAAAACATATCAAAAATGAATTTCAAAGTGAACTATCACTTTAATGAAATTAGTCGTTGCGCACCCTAGCATAGATGTTTCGTTCACTGCCTCTGATTTCACACAATCCTGTGCTTGTAGTTGGCGAATGATGGAAAGAATAAAGATGGCATCTGATTGAACAGTTAAAATAATTCAGTGTTTTATTTTCAACTTCTGATTCCATTTCAAGTGAGGAATAAGCATTCCCACCTTAGTCCTTAGGACAAAAACATATAAAAACCAATCCCGACTGCAGCTGCCATGGGCTCCGTAAATTTCCTTTGGGAAGTTGGTGGCCAAATTAAGAGGCTGCTAAATAGATTAATCAGTTGATTAGCAATAGAGCCCTCTTTATTATTCAGAAGGCATCTGTTCAGCCACCTCTGCTGAGCTTGATTGCCTGAGGCCCCCTGAGGGCAGGATGGATCAGTGCGATCAGAAACCCTACCTGATCGCAGACAATTGATTTTTAATGAGACTTAAGCCCTCAGTATTCTGGCAGCATCTGGCTCCGATCTAAACAGATGATAACCGGACTTAGTCGAGCCAACTCGGTTTGACCTAACATCCAGTGATGGAGTGCCGTTGTCTGCCAAGACCTCTGGAAACACATTCCTCAAGTAAGGTAACCAATACAAGCCCTCCTGTATGAGGGATTATGTTCCTGGCGGGCCGAGAATTGTTCAGTGCAATCAGTTGAAGAAAAAGTCACAGATTTATCTTCGGTCGATCCGAAGATGGTGACATTTAAAGGGAAGTGGGAATTGAGCTGAGCCAAAAGAGCAAAGCAGTCATTGTTGGTTTTATTTATTTGTTATTTGGCGCATTTAAATTTACTCGTCAGGGTGAATATACAGTAGTTATTTGGCCACCTGAGGAGAAAAACAGACTGTAATGTAATGTTTGCTGTGCCATTGTTTTGGGGGTGTTTATCAAAGAAATTATATATTTTTTTAAATGTTGGTTGACCTCCTCTTGGAGGATTTTATTGTATACTGAAATATTGTATAATAGAAACTATTATTTATAGTGGAGTCTGAAAGTCTGAGACTTGCATTCAAAATCTAATTTCAAGTAAGTAACTATTGACATTGATCATTTGGCTCTTTGTACGGAAGGTCAAATGTTCTTGCTTCTGTTGAAGCTCAATATACTTTTTGTTTTATCCCAAATCATGATGGAGACTTTTGTGGAGTTCATGCACATTTCTCTGTTTATGTCAATGTAAATTCTTCAAATTATGTCAATAGCATAGTTTGTGTGCGTGCGTATAAGTACTGGTCAGATTTTGGAAACATTACTATTTTGAATATTTTTGAAAGAAGTATCTTATGGCTGCATGTATTTGTTAAAAAATAATGTAATATTTTGAAATATTATTACAATTTAAAATAATGGTTTTCTGTTTTAATATACTTTATAATCTAATTTATTTCTGTGATGCAAAGCTGGATTTTTATCAGCCATTACTCCAGTCTTCAGTTATATGATCCTAGATCTTTAAAAAAAAAAAAAAAACAATTTTTAAGACATTCTTTTTTTAATTTTCATTAAAAAGTATCACAGGTTCCAAAAAATATTAAGCAACACAATTCTATAGTATCAAATCAGTATGAAATCAGCGTATTAGAATTATTTCTGAAGATATTGTAATAATATTTCACAAAATTAATGTTTTTTTCTGTTTTTGATCAAATTAATGAAGGCTTGATGAGCATAACAGACTTCTTTCAAAAACATAAAAAATTGTAATGTTCCCAAACTTTTGAGGGTACTGTAATGCATATATACATCCCAAGTGGTGTATATACCACTATATCTATCTGTCTATCCGTCCGTCCATCTGAACATACACAGGGAACATGCGTTACAGTATTCTTCATTTAAATAATTCCCACCCAAGGCATATGCAAAATAAAGGGATGAGGGCTAGTTGAGTTGCATTGGTGTGTTGAAACCTGTGGTTTATGTTAAAGGGTTAGTTCACCCAAAAATGAAAATTAAGTCATTAATTACTCACCCCCATGCTGTACCAACCCCGTAAGACCTTCGTTCGTCTTCGGAACACAAATTAAGATATTTTTGATTAAATTTGAGAGCTGCATAACTACCACATTGACTCCTAAGGGACTGCCTCTTGATGGCCCAGAAAGTCAATGAAGAAAATGTTTAAATATTCCAAGTGACTACAGTGGCTCAACTATAAGTTTATCAAGCGACGAGAATACTTTTTTTGCGAAAAAACAAACAAATATAACGACTTTATTCGACTATTCCTTTTCTTCCTTGTTGGCCTGAAACGAGACTTCCATACGATTTCCACGACGCGCGCGCGAGAACTGAACTGAAGTAGTTAAAGGAGATCGCAATTCTCGCTCGTGCGTCGTGGAAATCTCTTGAAGTCTCGTTTCAGGCCAACAAGGAAGAAAAGGAATAGTCGAATAAAGTCGTTATTTTTGTTTGTTTTTTCGCACAAAAAGTATTCTCGTTGCTTGATAAACTTATAGTTGAGCCACGGTAGTCACATGGAATATTTAAACATTTTCTTCATTGACTTTCTGGGCCGTCAAGAGCCAATCCCTTAGGAGCCAATGTGGTAGTTATACAGCTCTCATATTTAATCAAAAATATCTTCATTTGTGTTCCGAAGATGAACGAAGGTCTTACGGGGTTGGTACAGCATAGGGGTGAGTAATTGGGTGAACTAACCCTTTACGGGGGGTGACATTTCCAAAACACACTCGAAGCAGTTGACCAATCACAACACACACTGGTCCAGCTGACCAATCAGAGCACATTTCGCTTTTCGAAAGGAGGAACTTCATAGAGTTGCAACAAAGTCAAATATGTGAAAATAATGTGTATTTTTTCTAATAGCGATGTAGACTTTAAAAAGAGTATAATAGGTCCCCTTTTTAAAAATAGATAATAAACAGTCATGTCGACCACATTGAGTGGCTGTGAACGCATTAATAGTTGAACCATGAGACATTTAGAAACCATAATTGACAATTTCTGCCTGTCATTAAAATTTTTCGCATTAATAATAATAATAAATGTTTTTTTTTGTATGAAACTAACCACTGTTTTTTTACTCTGTATAACTATGTACCCAAATAAGCACTTTGTCCGTTTTTATCAGAGCAATCCACATCTAAATAGCTTTTCTTTCTCTTTCAGCTGTCTCTGAAATGCCGGGCTCCAGAAGTGTCTCAGTATGTGTACCAGATGTACGATGCCACTCTGAAGAACTGAACACCACTATCGTCCTTTTCTCTCTCTCCATATTTGTCCTTTCCTCCCCAACCAGCCACCACCACCTCTGTGGCAGAGGATCCAGCTCTCCAATGTTTTCTGCCACTATTTTAAGTCCATCTATAGGTACCAGTATGTGCCCACTATGCGTGAATCACACATGTTCCGTTCTAGCCAAATGTCTTGATGTTGTTGATAGCGTCGAAGGGAATTTTGGGACACCGCTATATATTTTTTAATTGTTTGAATGCATTGTCAGGACTTCACCTTCCCATGCCCTGTATTTGTCATCTTATTGCGAAGAAGGCAAGAGTATACGTGTCAAATCTTTAAACTGAAGCAAGTTATACTGTTTTAATGGAAACCACATAAAATCAATATATTCCTGAAATAGTACGTTTTTGATATACATCATGCGTTCTCTGATTTGCTACTTCATGCGATTGTACAACATTGCCAGCTATCTAATTAGCCTTGCATGCTTTGACCAACATAAAACGTCACATTCCTTTTAATGTTTTGACTATCTCGTTCAGCTTAACCACTGCTGAACATGACGACACTCCATCAATGTCTTATATCAGTGAAACTGCTATGAGACGACTTAACGTGATACAAAAAGACTTTTCTATCAATCTTGTATAAGTGGGTCATCTGATATTAATTCCCAGACTGAATCCATCCATATGTGATGTATTGTGCTTGTGAAAGTGAGTCGGTTTTGTGCGGTAGTTTTTGGAGTGTTAGAAATATCTGTTCAACATTATTATATCTACAACTTCGCTCAGCTTTGGTTTACGAATAATACACTAACATATGGATGCAATAAAAAAAAATTTAAATAACGTAGACTCAGCGATACAAGGATGAATCACGTTTGGACTGTTAAGTAGAGTTGAGTGTGTGTGTGTGTGTGTGTGTGTGTGTGTGTCCCCGAAACTTTATTAGTCTTCATGGTGGTGCTGGTGACTAAATGTGAACCTTTTTTGTTGCCATAGTTGCTAATGTGCCTGTGAACCTGCATGTAAGCAGTGTCCAATAAACATCTGCCAGTAGAACACTTGTATAAGAAGGTGAAATATTAATACATTAACCTTTATATGTGCAAATGTGAGTTTTAAGGATTATGATTTATACTGTCAATGCGCGTCCTAGTAATGAAATGTGAAGTCTGACATGCACAAGTTCAACAAAAAGTCCGATCAAATTTCTCCAGGATTATTTTATGGATAGTTGTAAATCAAAATAAAGTCAGCAGTGTTGGCCTCCCAAACATGCATTCGTTATGTTTTTTATTATGAATTTCTCAGTATAGCATTTTTACTCGTATTCTTTGAATATTGTTATATGAGCATAATTATTTACATGCGCACATACATAAACAATCTGGATATATTGAATCGGCATTATCATCGCGAGTCATGACCTCATGGGATGCTAAACTCAGCGGAAGTAAAAGCTCATCCCGGCATTTTTTTTACCATAGACAGCATTTTTCTCCTACTCAGGACTGCGAACATGGAGACTCATTTCACGTAGGCCGACTTTTTTCTCATGTCATATCCACGGTTTAAATACCACTTTGTGTGAATTATGGGAGAACGATTAGCAAAAGGTTCGCTCTATGAACGCAATAATAAGTATTTTCAAAAACAGGGTAGGCCTAACGTTACAACAATGAGGTGATTCTTCTCACATTTAACAATCGAACATTAAAGGGACATTTAAAAGTGTAAAAGCATTAAGAAATTACCACAATAGCCGTATTATTTCCACAGAAATATTTTGTGTAATCACTGTAATCATCATAATCAAAAATGTTCATTAACTGGAACATAATATTTCAAGCCGTAAAATATTTTTAAAGCATCCGTGTGTGTGAAAACAAGCCTGGAAAGAGGCGTGAAGATTTGGGGAGAAAAACAAGAGATTCTTAGTGCATTTCAGTGAATTATTCATGAGATATATCGTCTAATAAATGTGACTCCGTTTGTCTTTTTTCATACGGTTACAGCGGAATACAAAAAAGAATGCAGCGACTGAAAAGAGCTCTTGCCATAGCAAGTCACATTCTGAAAATAAAACAAAGGACATTTTCAGCTCATTCAATCAAACTGACAGATGATTTGAAGTGCAACAACCTTATGATTTGTTTCAGTCTTATTGAGTGAAACTTCCTGTGATTAAAATAGTTCACTTTAAAAAAAAAATGTTTGCCGATAATTTACTCACCCCCATGTCATCTAAGATATCCATGTCATTCTTTCTTCAGTCGAATAGAAATTAAGGTTTTTGATGAAAACATTCCAGGATTTTCTCCATTTAATGGACATTATTGGGAACCAAACGGTTCAAGGTCCAAATGAGAGTTTCAGTGCATCTTCAAAGGACTTTAAACGACACCAGACGATGAATACGGGTCTTATCAAGGACCCTTCGAGTCATGACTCGAATTAAGATTTGTTCATTTTGATGAACGAGTTTGAACAGGAGAGTCATCATGAACGCGCATCACAGAACAGAGCAAGGCGAGCATTTGTGCTTATAATCAAACTTAAACTTTTTTGTTTATTTTTGAAATGACCGACCGTTTCGCTAGATAAGACCCGTATTCATCGTCTGGTGTCGTTTAAAGCCATTTGAAGCTGCACTGAATCTCTCATTTGGACCTTGAACCTTTTGGTTCCCATTGAAGTCCATTATATGGAGAAAATCCTGGAATGTTTTAATCAAAAACCTTAACTTCTTTTCGACTAAAAAAAGAAACTCGTGGACATCTTGGATGACATGGGGGTGAGAAAATTATCAGCAATTTTTTTTTTTAAAGTGAACTACTCCTTTAAGTTCCTCCCATAATCTAAAGCGCAGTAGTTAGGCTTAATAGGAAAAAGGTGAATAGCAGAGACGAGTCATATTCAGACACGGGGTCTTATTGAGTCGAGTGAGCCTACTAAAGAATCACTCAACCAGTTTGTGGATTCATTCAGAAAGACGTGTTGCTCAAAAACCTTCAGGCAGCTTTAGCTTTGCAAATATAGACAATACGCTTTCATATTTTGGACGAACGTGAACTGAATGCACTGTATTACTGCCTGATGAACGTTACTGTGTGTGAACGCGTTCATTCTGGTGTCTGTGAACGCACGCTCTCTCAGTTTGACTTCGTACTACCCATTTTTTTGAAGTATGAACTATGAACTGAACTAGTTCATTTTAAAATGTGTGAACTGAACTTTGAACTAGTTCATGTAGAAATCGGTAGAAAGTGAACTTTCTCAACACTGATTGTGTCCGTGTCACTTGCTCAATATTAACGTCATGTTTATTGTAATTTGTGGATTCAGTTCACTCTTCTCGTTTAAACATAACTAAATGTAATCGTCATCTGTAGACTTTTATGGCCTGAATAAGCTCAGTCATTAGCACAATAAATGGGATTAATTATTAACCATAACCATCTCTCTTCAAACAGTACTAAGCTGCGGTTTTGTCACAACCTGCATTGTACAACAAACCCCAAAAGGTTGGGACATTTCGTAAAATGCAATAAAATCAAGAATCTTTGATTTGTTAATTTTCTTTAACATTTATTTAACTGACAAAAGATCACAAGATTATAAAAGTTTCCACAGACTAACTTGATTGTGTTTTGCAAATATAAAGACATTTTGATGGCTACAACACACCAAAAAAGCAAAATAAAAGTGAAAAGCTGATCGAATTTCCAAGTTAAACTCTTTTGAAACAGTCCACAAAGTTCAATCTGTTCAATACAGAAATGGCGCTGAGTTCTCCGAGCCTGAGCTCATCACAGATGATATGAAACACAGCAGACTGTTGAGCAGCTGTCTTGTATCAGATAAAATTGAGGAAAAATTACACTTGCAAAAAATCAACAATTAGTAAAGCAACCCCATGTAACGTTTCCTCTGCGGTCGCCCTACAGGTTGGAAGTGGAATTGTCCATTACCGCTGTGCTAAATAATTTAGCCCACCGCAGCCTACTGTCACACACACGCTCGCTGTTTATCCAGCACCGGCTTTGGAATAAACGATGTCCACAGACAGCGTAGAGTATGTTGCATGATTTCATGAAAGTATGATGTATTGCGACATCAGAAACAAAGAAAAACAAAATAAGTACTATTGTAACGCTTGACGTAAAGCAAGTCAAATTTGTAGTTTTCTTTCGTCTCATTAGAACTACAGAAACGCGATCCGATCTGGCAATCTTACATAGCGTGGTTAGCAGATATAGCGTGGTTAGCAGCTTAGCAGATATACAGCCCACGTGATCAAATAGTTGCGCGCGCATTTTGGCAACGGAAGTGGTGTTGTTTCCCACTGACTGTAACGTGTTAGCAACTCCGAAAGTTTATTAAAACGGTTTCGCAGCTTCAAAATGTCTGGTTGTTGCGTTTACGGTTCCACTAATCAATATTCCACCAAGGGGCTTAAGTTTTATATTTCCGACAGAATCACGGCCGTTTCAGAAGAACCGTTGATTGGAGCGAGGACATAATAAAAATCCGCTCGCGTAGCTTGACCGAGCTTGACACACTGCTGATTCTCGCCATTCCGTTGCCAATATTCGCGCGCATACGTTGCCACGTCATCATTGTGTACAAACCATAAAAGGGTCTATAGGACTGCAAAGCGAATCCAGAAGTGACTTTCACCCTGTTTCGACTTAATGAACCACTGAAATGATTTTGAAAACATTATTTTAAGGTAAAAAATCTTACTTAGTATTGCTTTAAAAAGTGTCATTAAAGAGTAACTAAACACTTAACTAACTTTTTTTAGTTAATGATCTGTAAGAATGGATCTTTATTAATACCAGTCATTGATTCGAGTACCTTTTTTGGCATTGGTTTATAAAGTGTTCTATTTCTACAATATATGGTGTAAAAACGTCTTAGTGCTGCCCTCTTCAGGTTGAACGGTGGCTACTGCAGTTGAATTTTCCTATTGGATGTTTGCGGTGGTACGTGACACAGCTGTTGTTGGTGACGTAGACTAGTTCCATACAAAGAGATGCGTCTCAGGTGCACGCCCCCCTCCGCTGGGCTCTGCCCACTTTTCCAGCATTTTTCAAATATTGCCAGTGGGTGGAGTCAGGCTCTGACCAGGGGTTTAGTTACCCTTTAAAAGTGAAGGTGATGTGACAGTGGTAAAGATGTCTCTTTTTGGAGTGTGTTGCAGCCATCTAAATCGTAATTTGTTTATATTTACAAAATACACTTAAGTTAGTCAGTGAAAACTGTAAAAAAAATCTTTTTGTTGCACTTTTGTCGGTTAAATAAAGGTTAAAGAGAATGAACAAATCACAGATTCTTGATTTTATTTCATTTGACAATATGTCCCAACTTTTCTCAATTTGGGGTTGTATGAATGATGTGAAGTCAACAGGTAAGAACCACGTGGTTACTTAGCAACAGAAGAAAAGAATGTGTTGCTAAGAGACAGCCGCTGTACTCTACAGTCGGTTGATAAAGAAGAGTGTAGCAATGACGATGAGCAATCATTTGAGTCACTCAAATAAACAAGCCGTTGAGAGGGGCATGACAATTGCTGTGGAACGGGTATACATTGGTTTCAAGGTAATATTTGATGTGTTTAAGTGCTGCATGTCAATGAGTTTTACTAACGCATGCTCTTCAAACGCGTGCTAGTATTTACTCTCTGGTATTTACCGCTCATGACGCGCAGCACATGTACGCAAGGAGACATAATCCTGCTGACAACTATGGCAAGCCACTTGAACATTTATTCTTTAACTAACTATTAGGGTAAGATACAGTGTATTGAATGTGTGTTATAATGTTGAATGGAAAAGTCATTTATAATAAATAATAATATATGATAAAACAACAATATTCCATAAAAAAATGAAATGTCTATTTTGATTTCATGATGACTTTAAGCTCAAATTTTGGTAGTGACAACCATATTCCGGTTGTGTGAACTTAGCTAACGTTATGCCATTAGTCTCCGTGAATAGGGTTGTATGATTTTGTTTTTTTTTTAATGTTTGAAAGCATAGATAGCATTGATAATACAATGCTAAATCATAAATCAGATGTACACCTATGTACAATAACATATCAATGTCCAGCAATCGATTTTAGTACATTGTGTTTAATTTGTTGTTTAATGAGATCTAATACGTGTTGGTGGCGAGAATTGTCACGTGAAGATATACATAGATCCGACATTTACGCGCATGCACTTTAATATTCCATCCAGTGGCATAACTTTTGCCAAGCGTGTTAGAGGTTCTGGGTTCTAATCCACACTCGTATAGTTTTTTTTTTCTCATTAAAACCGATTATGTTTATCAGTTGTATATCAAGCAGAGACACGTTTGTGTCCATTTTACTTTGTGATTTCACCGGAACAAATATAGAGTCTCCGCAACGGATTAACGCCCTGTTTACATGAGAACGCTCGCGGGTGAAAACGTAAAAATATTTTATCGGATGTGCCTTTCGTTTACACGGCGACGGCGTTTTGGGGGCTTAAAACGCAAAAAAGTGAAACCACCCTCCAGAGTGGAAATCTTAAAAACGCTCTACCGCTGCGTTCCCGTGTAAAGGGTAAAAACGCAAAAGTCTGCTTGACAGTGAAGGTTGTACGCAGGCGCACAGACTTTGTGTTGTGTGGCAGTGATTCACATCGCCACCTAGCCGCCTGGAGTGCATACTACATTGAATTTCACACACTTTTGCGTCACCATATGCACGCGGATTTCCCACCCAAAACGCTCGTCTAAATGCAAAATAAAAAGTGAGAACGCAACGCCACTTTTGCGTTTTCTCTTCAGAATCGTTTCTGTGTAAACATAGCCTAAAGCGTGTGTCCTTGTGAAGACTGTGCGCTACGCAGCGCTGGCCACAAAGAGAACACTTTATCCACGACACTGATCGCAGTCAACGAGCACTGTGGCCACTTGGGTTCAAAAACAACACATTTCAGCGCTACATCGCTCGAGATGTTTCAAAAGTGGTGGGGACAATATCAACCCTGGTTAGAAGTGGTGGGGACATGTACCACCCATCCCACCCGCAAATTACGCCTATTCACAGACATTGCTGTTAGCCTAAAAGACATGCTGCTGCATACACGATTAAACCCCTGTAGCAGATATATACAGGTGGAGCTGGGGAAGGTGGAGGGTTTCTGAAAGCACAAATGGTCAAACCGCTGATACAACAACAACCAATCAGCTGCGCTATGTAGCTGACAATGCGATCTACCAAATATTAAAGACCTATCAGCCTGTGCCATCTAGAGTTTCATGTCAGAACTTGGTATTTACGTATTATGCAACAGGACATCATGACTTTTGCGTAAACATACACACCGCTTTCAAGTCATGTGGCGTGTTATCTATACGTATTTTGAGCTATCCGCGTGTATGCGTGTATGTCTACGCCGTTAAATGTCCGAGTGATTCCGCATGTATGTACACGCCGTTAAATGTCCGAGCGAAACGAAGCAAAATGTAGATCTACATCTGGGGAGCGATATTTTTTTTCCTAGGTAGGTTTAGGGATGGGGTTGGGGTAGGTCATTTATATATATATACAGTAATGTTACTTTAAGTCACCGGCGTTCATAAACACGCCGAAAAGCAATTATGCGTGTTCATAGCACGTCAAAAATGGAAATACAATTTGGCGTGTCATACATATGCCATTTCACGAGATCAGTCTGTATAAAAGTAGACCTACTACTAGATATTTATTGAATTAGTAGGCGTACTCGTTGGTTTTAGTATACGTTCTAGTAGGCTATAATGAATAATTCAACAGTAGTGAAATTGAAATAGTCACTAGTGGATAACTCGCTAGTATAATAAAAAAGAGAGAAGCATTAGTAACACAGAAATCTATATTTAAGCAATAAATGTTCAAAAGGCTTGCCATAGACATAGCAGAGCTCTCGGCATTTTTTTTTTTTTTTTTTTTTTCAAATTCAATTAACCTGTGACGCTGACCCGGTGAGGCGCGAGACTCGACGCGGTCCACCACTCTGATTTTACGCGCAAACGTTGATTTATCTGTGAGTTAACAACACGGTCGAACATGCGCGCCCCGTGCAGTGCGCGAGGTCTACATGACGCGGGAAGAGCAGGATATTCCTCCAGGACAGTTTGAGGGTTACTTCTGCACCTGAATGCGACCAGAGAGTAAGAACGCGACGAGAACGATCGAGCAGGTGTTCAGCCGCCCGAACCTCACGAAGAATGCAACTTCTCACCTGTACATAAGGTAAGTCTTGCTGTTGTGCACCGACAGTCTCGCGTTTCAAATCTAAAAATCTTTGTGAGAATGATAAACTGTCATGCGTCCTAAACAAATATGTAGTACGGGTAGGACATTTACTAAGGAATTTTGCTATATAACTTAGGCCTGCTATATAGCAAAAAATATTTGCTATAGCCTATAGCAAATATTTTTGCTATATAATAAATGAGTAAAGTAAATGAACAAGTAAATACACGTGTGTCTTTATTCTATTGGATGCAGAGAATACATTACATAAGCATTGTGTCGTCTTATCGCTTGAATGAAACTGAAAAGATTCATAGTAAACTATGGATTAGCATCATGCATCCTGTCCCCCGCAGTAGCTCTATAGGAATAACACACACACACACACACACACACACAGGTTCTGCTGCCCGTGTTTTTGCCTATGTGTGGCAATTTCTATTAATATCTATGCCCCATTTAAATCAACCTGACCCCATTTAAGTGCTTTATATCATAAACACATTGTGATGTTTAATGGAATTATCAGATTATGATATATAAACGCAATGATGCTTAGATTACTACAAACAAAATAAATATTGACATACTGTGAAAGGTTTGTCAAGTGCACATGTGGAATTTTAAATATGTGCCTGATTTGAATATTGATATATAAATATTGTTGGTTTTTCTCATTTATTATAATGAATATAATGTTATTTAAATGTATCTTTGTGTCAGTGAATGATATCAAATGAGCACTTTCACTTTAGTTGAGTTGGGCTCTTGTTTGTCGTTTTCATCTCTCCTGTTTCATTTCTCTTTCTGCAGGTACTGCTGGCCTATGAATGGGACTGTGCTGTGGCCACCACTGCTTTCTGCTCTTCAGTCAGGACTATGTGCTGCCCATGTGCCCCTCTGAATGCACTGGCCAGCTGTTTGCGAGAGCAGGGAGGGTGGGGCGGCCCACCGGGGGCGAGGCGGAAACAGGGCGATGTCCCCTCAGTTTCGGATCGCAGTGCTGGGAGCTCAGGGGGTGGGCAAGACTGCCATTGTGAAGCGCTTTCTTCACAATGACTACAGTGAGGTGGCGGTGTCCAGTAAGACACGGCGGGTGCATCTCTCTGCCGCAGTGCTCAATGGTCATGTGCATGACCTTCAGATTACAGATTACCCAGCCATCAGCAGCTTTCCTGGCAGCTCTCTGCAGGTACGGTACCCAACGCATCACAAAATATGACTCTGACCGGACCTCGTGTCTGGACAAAGTTTAGCACATTTAGAGAAAGCACATTTGAGGTGCCCAAACAAGGGCGTAGGTTTGATTTTGACACTGGTGGGAACGTAAAAGCTTTATTCTTGGACAGTAAGGGATTTAGTCCATATTTACTATATTAAAGGCAATGGCGACAAGGAGCCGGTTTAACAGAGATGTCAACATCTCTGAGATGCAAGTTTAATCGTCAACATCTCTCATCAGCATCAGAGTACATAATGTATATGTAATACTCTATAATACATAAAGCACTTAAAGGAGTAGTTCACTTTTAAAAAAACTTTTGCTGAAAATTTACTCACCCCCATGTCATCCAAGATGTCCATGTCATTCTTTCTTCAGTCGAAAAGAAATTAAGTTTTTTGATGAAAACATTCCAGGATTTTTCTCCATATAATGGACTTCAATGGGAACCAAACGGTTCAAGGTCCAAAAGACGGTTTCAATGCAAACTGCAAACTGTTCAAAGGGCTTTAAATGATTCGAGACGATGAATAAGAGTTTTATCAAGCGAAACATCGCTCATTTAATAAATAAATAACAAAGTTTAAGTTTTATAAGCTCAAATGCTCGCCTTGTTCTGTTCTCTGATGCGCGTTCGTGACTCTCCTGTTCGAACTCGTTTATCAAAATGAACGAATCTTTTCGAAATGAACGAGTTGACTCGGGAAAAGATTCGTTCATTTTGATGAACGAGTTTGATTAGGAGAGTCACAGTCGCGCATCACACCCTAACCCTAACAGCAAGGCAACCATTTGAGCTTATAAAACTTATTTATTTATTTTTTATTTTATAGTTATTTTTTTTTAAATGAGCGATCGTTTTGCTTGATAAGACCCTTATTCATTGTCTGGAATCGTTTAAAGCCCTTTAAACAGTTTGCAGTTTGCACTGAAACTGTCTTTTGGACCTTAAACTGTTTGGTTCCCATTGAAGTCCATTATATGGAGAAAAATCCTGGAATGTTTTCATCAAAAACCTTTATTTCTTTTCGACTGAAGAAAGAATGACATGGACATCTTGGATGACATGGGGGGGTGAGTAAATTATCAGCAAAAGTTTTTTGAAAAGTGAACTACTCCTTTAAAGGGTTAGTTCACCCAAAAAAGAAAATTATGTCATTAATTACTCGCCCTCATGTTGTTCCTAACCCGTAAGACTTTCGTTTAACTTTGAAACACATACGAAGATCTTTTCAATGAAATCTGAGAGCTTTCTATCCCGCCATCGACAGTCTACTACACAATTACCATTTCCAAGACCCAGAAAGGTAGTAAAGACATTATTACAGTAATCCATGTGACTCCACTGGAGTGTTAACCTTAGTTTTATGATACATGTGTGCTGCAATGAAACACTTTATTTACTCACACAGTGATATAATATCCATGCAACATTTACATTATATAAAAGTTGCATGGTTGCATACAATAATATGATATTCAGATCAGCAACAGTCTCCGAGGGTGATGCAGCTTTATGAAGGGCCAATTAAACAGAATGTTTCAGTTTTTTGCTATGAGCTCTGAGTTTATGCACAGTAAGAGCGTTAGTATTGCAGATTGGTTTATAATGAACCAGTAGCCTGGAAACTCATGGTTCTGTGTAGCACTTGTGGTTTCAGACAGCTTGAAAGAATAAAAGAGCCACTTGAGCAGTAAGGCCTTTTGTCTCAGCTCACTGTTCTTTTTTCAGTGCTGTCACAATGATTCAGTGCTTGAATTAGTGACAATGGCAAAAGAGGATTCTTTCATAACTTTACATTTATAATTATATTCTCAATTAGAGTTTAATGTCAGAGATAGAGGTTACCTTGAATTATCATTACCTAGGGCCCTGTTTACACCTGGTATTAAAGACGTTTTTGTTGATCGGATCACAAGTGGATGACACTAAATAAACAGGGGCTAAAGCGTTTTGAGCTTGTCCACTTTCAACCACTTCCAGAGGTAGTCGAAAACACATTCGATTTAAACTTTGTCGTCTGAAAACCCAAGTGTGGTTTGAAGACGAAAAACGTACCAAACACAACGTTCTCTCAACATTTCTGATTTCTAACACACACTCACAGCGTTCGGCTGGTCTTGCGGCTGTCTGAGCAGAAACTAAAGCTGATTTCCTCCGTATGTTTTTCCTTCGTCTCTGTGCGTGAGATTATTTCATCCATTAGATTTAAAGATCCCTACGAAAAGAGACCCTCCCCTCGAAGAAATCAGATTGAAACCATTGAAAGTGGACAAAAGAGACTCGTCTACTTGCGATCCGATCTAACAATACTCATCTTAATACCAGGTATAAAAGGCAACTGTTTTTCTTTCTACGATTGCAAAAGTGAGCATTTCTCCCCAAATCCTGACTAACCTCTAGATTTTATCTGAAAAAGCACCATCCAATGAAACATAATTTGTTTGTAAAGTGCGAAATGAGTGCCTTCTATCATTCTTCACATGGCTGATATATACAAACTAATGGGAGAGAATAAGAATAAGCAGATCATTATCTCTCTTGTTTCTGCATCACTTGTTACACTCCTATCTCCTTCAGTTATAACTACCTCATATTAATCCGTTCAGAAAGGTTCTGAATGAATCATCGGAACATGAGTAATATGAATCTCAAGGTTCAGGAGTGAAAGTGTTATGTTTTGTTTGTAGTTGTTGAGCACGTGTATTAACTCTTTAAAGCCTGGCATATGAAAGGTCAGGAATTGTATTTGAATGGAGCAGTTTAGTGAGAAATATCATATCATATTAATCAGCATTTTATGACTCATAGTATTGTGAAAATATGGAGCTCGTCTTTGAAGACGAAAAACACCTCAGTTTTATTCAGAGGCACAAACTAAGCTGAAATATGCAATGTGATGCAGTTTCTGATATTTATGAGCCAAATATAAGATCAAATTCTGATTGAAGTGTAGTGTGGCAGAGTACTTGCATAAAATGCATAGGATATATCACAATAATACCAGTTGTCTCTATATCTCCCAATAATAAGTCTTAGTAAGATTATATTTAAATCCTTAGTTTTATGATAAAAGCTCTTTAGTTTTTATTGCGGGGGACAAAACATATAATGCAATGCAATACAATGATGATTGAGAGATAAAGGTTCCTCAAAAGCTAGATGTATCATATTTGATACTCACGTTTTAACATAATTTTCTAAAAAAAAAATGATGTATGGATGATCAAGTAAACTTAAGTTACTTGAGTTCAGTAAGTGTTCATCTTATACGAACAATATAAAAGTATATCTTATGTTTACTTTATAAAAGTCAGTAAAGATTTCACAGCAAAACAGATGTTTATTAGAATTAAAAGGCCACTTTATTTCGATAGTTACTTTAGACGTTCTACTAATTATATGTAACTTCAACTACGTGTCAACTAACTCTCATTACAGTAGACTGTAGGTGTTAGGCTTTACGTTAGGAGAATAAGTTTACTTGTAGTCGCCAAGTTACTTATAGTCAGATGAATGTCTGTTGGGGGAGCAACAAAATAAAGTGTTAGCAGATATTAAACTGACAGTCTACTAATACTCTTATGACAATTAGTTGACATGTAGTTGAAAAGTTACTTATAATTAGTTGAATGTCTAAAGTGGACTATCGAAATAAAGTGTTACCGGCCTTTTACTTGCTAAAAAATTATGAACTATCAATCAGACGACAGAAGGCATGTGGTTAATTGTGTACAGGTTTGATCATGTTTATAATTTAGAGGCCTTAGAAATTTGCGTATCAAATATGATACAGTAGGCTTAAACTGATGTTTGACATGATCAAGTCTTGTGTTGCTAGATAATGTGCTCTGTCTGTGCAGGAATGGTCAGATGTTTGCTGTCGAGGCATTCGGAGCGCTCATGTGTACATTCTGGTTTACGACATCTGCTGTTTCGACAGCTTTGAGTATGTCAAAAGCATGCGGCAGCAGATCTTAGAGACCAGGTACGTGATGGGAATATTTTCTTAATTCTCTTTTTATTCCTTCACACATTTACATCTTTGCCCCTTCTCTCTTCCTGTTATGCTTTATCTGCTTACACCTGAATTCTCCGTTTTTTCTGCTCTGCTTTATCTCCTGCATGTTTCTCAACCCTTCTTTTCTTCAATGTTTTGTAATTACGCTCAAAAGCCGAGACTCTTCTGTAATCATGGGCTGCCAGCACACTGGGTTATTTCTTCATCATTTGGATCCAAATCAACAGAAATTCTTTTCTCATCTGCTGATTGCAAAGGTCATCTTCAAAAGCCAATTCAAAAACCTCAGAGACTTTTTGAGGTTTGATGATGAGGCCTGTTTGTGGCTGATTTTGGCTGCATACTATATCTCTTGATATCATTCACTCTTTGACTTGATATCCATATGTTAAAACGTTTGGCAAGGTGCTGCTTGAATTCATTATCATGTTATTGTGTGAACGAATACCTTTTTTTTAGCTCTGATGAAATAACTTAGTGTTTTATAGTCAATATACTACAATCTCTGTGGATATCTTGAAAATGAAATGTTGTGACAAATTTGCCACACGGTGTCTTAAACCATCCAAGACCAAATAGTGTATTTATAGGTGTAAAATGAACTAATAAATTAAATAAATTTTCATAATCAGAATTTTTATTCAGTAAAAATATCACACAAAAAAAAATCAAACAAGAAAAAATTATTTGTATAAAAATTCTATTTTTATTGCACTGTGAATCAGAATACATTGGCAAAAATAAAAATGATGTAATCAGTTACATCTTATTAAGATATGAAATTCAAATTAGAACTGGCATATTTTTATTTTGTAATCGTACATTTTAATAGCTATTATGGTAACTTGAAATATTTGAGAAAAATAATTCATACATTTAACTTAAAATTATCATGGCTAGCTTTAACTTGCTAATTCATTAAATGCTAAATGGTAACATGTTTTGATAGCATTAGCATAGAATAGCAATTGCTGAAGAAGTATGGCAGTAAAGCACATTTAACATCTGTTCTCAAACCAAGCTCATGCTCCACTCATCACCCCAAAACCCACACATATCAGAAACTCTTCTAAATAATCGTAGGAAAACATTAAACACGACTAAATCTCCCACCTAACATTAATCTTGCTCATTATATAACACTAAATTTTAGCATTTACTTTAGCATTTAGAAATAGAAATCCCAGACCAGTTTCAGTTAAATTTAAGTTTGTCTAAATTAAAAGAAACAAGTTAAAACAACTCAAAACAATGAAATAATCTAGATTACTTAAATTTTGCTAATTTTGGGAACTCAAAAGAAAAAGGAAGTTCTGCATACTCATAAAAGTGTTTAACTGAAACCAATTAAAGATTGAGAGCATTAGGTTTTACAGTGTTGCAAAATGTCAACTTACATTGTCTTAAAATGTAAAAACTGTATTATTACACAGCTCTATTTACAGTTATCAAATCTCAATTAACTGATCTTGATCACAAAATGTAACTATATCCAGCTCTTTATGTAAATTTGTAAGATATAATAGACATTTAATCTCATGATTTTCTGTAAAGCTGCTTTAAATCAATTTGTATTTTGAAAAGCGAAATATAAACACATTTCACTTGATATTATATTATATTATATTATATAGGCCTATGTATTGATGTGCATTCAGAGAATATATCTTTAATACATTTATTTTTCTTACGCAATAGGATTTAAAATGCCCTGTGTAGCAAAGTAATACACACAGTAACAGTGATGCTCCATCAATATTTAAAATCAGCTCAGTCACCGATTGGCTTAAACGGTCCGTGAGGGCGTCAGCGCTGAGTCTGTCACTCACAGCCAGGTTTAGCGTAATCAATGGCGTCAGCTGTCATGCTTCGCTTGCGTCAAGGCCTGAGGATTGAGACAGGCAGTTCCGGTGACAAACATTCATGTTTTATTGATCCAGGCAGAACATAATGAAGTCACCTTGGCCCGACCCTGCCTCACAGCCTCGACCACACAATAGGAGGAGGATGAGCCAGTTCGATTCACTGATCTGATCTGCTAATAACCAACAGAAGTGAGAGCGCTCGCTGTCAATTGTTCCTGTAATAAGACCGTTCCTGTTAGAGTGACGAATTACAAGGGAGACGGTAAATTAATCTTTGGTAAAACAATAGCCACCTGTCCTGATCTCAGATGAAGTTTGGATGGAGATCTGTTAACATTATTAATAGTGTCCATTTACGGTAGCTGTCCATTACATAGGTACATTCAGTACCTAACTGCATTTTTAAACTGCATGAAAATTAGCCCATTCTTCTTTCAGACAAATAATATCAGAGTTATATTAAAAAAATGTCTTGGCTCTTCCAATCCTTATAATATGGTGTTGGTCGACTTGCGTACTGTCGCCTACCAGATATTAGTTATTTTGGTCAATAAGTTTTAAATATGGATATTTTTCTTACACAAACGCATCACTTCACTTCAGAAGGCCTTTATTAACCCACCAGAGCTGTTTTGTTTTTTGAACTTTTTCTTAGATGGAAAAAAATACCCATTGACTCCCAATATAAGGCTTGGAAGAGCCAGGACATTTTTTTTAATATAACTCTGATTGTATTCGTCCTGGCATGGCTTCAGGGTGAGTAAATCCTGGGCTAATTTTAATTTTTGGGTGAACTATCCCTTTAAATGCATAAATGTTTCGCCAATCAATTACATACTCTGGTCTTTAACGACTCAGATCTATATCTAACATGGATGGATCTTTACCTGCCACAATAGTATAAAACTCTCCTGATATTTCATTAAGAAATACAAAACAATAAAATAAAGTATATGTTGTTACCTTTTGGTACTTTGAAGTGTTCAATTTGAGCAGATGTTTTTTACCATCGTCACTGTCTTTGTTGAATCTGACCTACAATTGAGTTTTAAATCTCGCAAATTTGCAATTCGTATCTTGCACCCGGCGCAAATGACTTTATACACTAACGCATGTCTCACCCGCGCAAAGCAGGCTTTTTTTCTCCAAAGACGCACGTCGGTAAACTATGAAATGAACTTGCGCCCCCTGGGAGGACTGGCGCAAAAAGGAGGCGTATTTCGGCGCAAACATTCCCTGGTGCTGTTTTACACTTACAGAAAACAATTGCGCCACTGACCAGAAAAAAAACTGGTCTAAAGTCAGTGGCGCTTTGCGCGTTGTTCATAATGCTATTTTAAGCACGAATGCTTGGCTATAATGTAGCGGGTGCACAACGTGCACAAATCATACATTATAACAAGGAAAAATATTAACACTTGAGGAAATCATTGTGGTTTCCATGAAGATGAAAAAACCCAATTGCCCATTTTTTAAGGCTAATTGTAGTACTGAGGGATCAGACCTGTTTGCACAGTAGTGGCAAGAAACATATGTATATAGTGTTTATCCGACGCTGATTTGGGTGGTTTCTCCATCCCCATACAACGTCACTTCTTACGTCTTTCACTGTCCTAACAAGAACGTCGGTCTCATCGGCTGTGAACCGCTCCTGGTGTGCGCCTGGTAAACCCGCCGTTATAATAACAATCCGTCATGCAACATGCGCACCTGCTCTTAAAGGGTATGTTGGATGGCGCTCTGATTGGTTTATTTCACGTTACGCCCAAACCACACCTATGAATAATGAAGCTACTTCAGACCAACCCCTTTTAGATTTGCGCCAGGCGCAAGAGGCATTTATCCCGCCGGGAAAATAGCAACAGCGCTGGGATCCGCCCACAAAGTTACTTGCGCTTTGACAGATCGTTAAAATAGGGCCCTTTCAATTGTGACTTTAAATCTCGCAATTCTGATTTTGTCTCACAGAAATATAAGGTATGACATTTTTATGTGGGTGTAGTTGCGAGAAAAAGTCAGCTGGGAGATGAAAAAAGTCACGATTACCTTTATTTTTTATTCCTTTTTGGAAACAAGCTTCCATATGTTAGACCCCAGTGGTGGTTAATGTTTTAGTCCCTGCCTTTCAGTCCGATCATGTCCGAGATTGAATCACAACTCATGTCGGACTTAGCACAGCAATCCAGACTGACAGTCAAAACTCGTAAATATTAATGACTAAATGAATGAATCAAAGAATAGATTGAGTTAGTGAATGAATGCGGTAATAAATGAATTCTGTTTGCGGAGGGTCTCTGCTGTGTTTGCGAATGAAATGATTGTGTCAGGGATCAGAGAGCCGTCACACACGATGACTGATGGACAATGCTGGTGGTTTCTGTCAATTCAAGACCCAGAGTTACACGGTGACTGACAGTTTTGGGTCTGAGGAGGTTTGGGGCTAATTGTGTTTACGCCACAATCTTCTTATCCGTACACAGACACACATCAGACATGAGATCAGCTCTGAATGAATAAGTTTTGAAATGACTCCACATCGGAACTGTATCTGTCCATTTTCTACAGCAGAAGTCTATTTTTGGCTCTCCTTCCCAGTACAGTCCGGTGCAGCGTTGTGGAAAGCTTCTGTCAGGTGAAACAATTGGAAATCTATTTGTCTTTTTTCAGAGCTGTCAGAGGCACAGGTCATCTCGAACACAGATAAGTGTGGAGACATAAGCTGCTCTCCGGGATGTGTGTGTGCTCTCTGTTGGAGACCGGACGAGAGGTTGATAGAGCAGCCCGACTCTTGACAGCCTGTCACTGCGGCCGTTTGCACACCCAACACATACGAGAGGCTGCTAGACACCAACAACCGAAAACCCCTTTCTCTGACTAATAGACCTTAGTCAGGGTAGCGCCATTTTATTTTTGACAGGAATGAAAACAAGCATGTGAGGGATAGAACACGTATAGTAGTGCATTCAATTGTTGTTTTGCCAGTTGTTTTTTCGGTAACGCTTCCTTTTACAGTCCAGTTACCCATGTAAATACTATGTACTTATTTTAGTAACTACAATTACTGCGTAATAACTAGTACTACCCCTAAACCTACCCTTATTCCATGTACTTACCTTATATTAGCCAGTATTTTCTTGGTAAGTACACTGTAAGTACTTCAATTCAAATGCAGTCCTATTTTGTCTCAATTAAAATGGAATAATAAAACTACACTAAAACCATTTTAAATTCTACAAGTAAATTTAAGCATTTTAACATTATAATGTACAGTGTGAAAAATTTATATTGATTTTGGTATTTGCTAAAAATTAATAAAATTAGATAATAAAATTATTTTTCTCCGGCCAATTTGGCTACTAAATTTATGTGTTAGCGGCCATTCAGAACTTTTAGCTAAAAAAATAAAAAAAACATTTTTAAAAATAAAGTTTTTATTTGTTATCCAAAATCATCCAAATACCAAAAATAAAACAATAAATCACTAATATCAATAGATAATCAAACTAGTACTGGTATGGTGTGCATCCTAACTCCTTAATAAATTCCACTAGAAAAAAAGGTATCAGGATATCTCCCAACGTCATCACAAGTAAACAGTCGACTGACTGTTATAAGACAATTTTCAGTCAATCAACCGCAATTGCAGGAATAAATAAAGATGACCTGAAATACAAATGTTTAATTCCCTTTACAAGGCATTGTTCACAGAAATGCTGCCATTTCAAACCTGTGTACTTTCTTTCTACTGTGAAACATAAAAGAAGATATTTTGATAAATGTTTAAATGTCCAAAAAAAGGAAATCGGTGGTAACTTAAACTGTTTGGAATGATTAAACTTTTCAGGGGCGATTCTAGGATTTTCCTTTTATGGGGGCTTAGCCCCCAATGAGGGTATGATTAAAAAAAATTAAAATAAAAAAACAAGGTAAAAGTTTAATTTAGGGTCTAATGCTCACATTCATTATGCAATTGCAGGGTTTTATAATCACTGTAGTCCTGAATTTGAGTTGTGAGTTGTGAAATTTTTAATTCTCTGAACTATTATGTCCATTTTAAAATGTTTTGAAGGCATTTTTTTTTTTTTTTTTGGATAAAACCATGTCAGTGGGCGGCTGATTATTTTTCTCTCCTCATCAGCATCACACTCTTTTTCTCTTTGTTTTTCTCTTGCCCTGTCTCTTCCCCTCCTAAAGTTGAGCTTTGACTGATTATAGGCTTTTTATTTTTGTAAAAAATGCGCTTTCTGATTCTGATGCCTATACAGGGCTGTGGACAGGGCAAAGAGGTCCTACATTTGAGGTGGAGGTTTGGGGGTTAAATTTTTTAATCTCTGATATGTGCATTTCAAGACGTTTGAAGACCAAAAAAAAAAAAGAAATAGCTTTAAAACTGTCAGTAGATTTGTCAAAACCTGCTCTCTCACTTGTCTCCTCATCGTGCCCTTTCTCTCCCCCTCCTAAAGCTGAGCTTTTTTTATTTACTAAAGGCTACAATTTGTATTATATTTTCAATATGTACACATTCATTATTATTCATGTACCTTACATGATGAAAACGGCTTTGTTAACGTTTCTTGTCTCACATTGACAGTAAACGAATTATTACATTAGACTGACGTTACATGGCTAATTTCAGTTCAAAAGGGCGAAATTAGATAAAACTATTGAGTTTTCCTGATTATTTTTTGTCATTCGTTTAACATTGATCAACATGACCTCACAAAACTGTCAAATATTTAACGTTATAAGTTTAGCTACTTGCATATCGCACTTTCGCGTGCACTAAAGTCGATTCGTGCTGCTAAAATTCGCGCTCAGCTTCTGTGAATACACTGTAAAGCCCGCCTACTTTGATTTGATTGGTCATCTCAAATATTCTGACATTGATGAGCAGTGACAGACCAATGGGCTCAGATGAACACACGGACAATTTCCTCTCTTTTTGACGCGCTCTCTGCTCGGCGCCACTGCGGATTTAAGATGTAGAATGCGCTGAATGTGATTAAAACAAGACTGAAGCGAACATGATGAATTTGTGTAGCATATTAATCACCAATTTTTAGGGGGGCTAGGCATAAATTTAATATAAAAACTAAAGGGCCTAGTGACGCCCCAGCTTTGTGGTATAAACTTTGGCACTATACAAACTTTAGAAAATGTTCTATATAGAACTTACACTTCATTTATAGAACCTTTTAGGATTTTGTTTTAATTCATTTTAAATTTCAATCAAATGTTATGAATTAAACAGCTCGTAAACATACTTTATCGCAAACATACTTTATTACTAGATATTATCATCAAAAATTGAATGACTCATTAAACATGAAATTATTATGTAGCAATTTAAGACATTTAGAAACTTAAATAGAACCTTATATAGAAACTTTTTGGCTTAAAGGTTTTATTTTTTTAATTGAGTCAAGAATCCAAGGGTTATACATCAAACCCCATTAAACTTTTCATAAATAACCTCCATCTATGGAACCTTTAAATTGAACCAAATATTCTTTTTTGGTGGAAAATGTTCTTCACACCTTTGACTGAGAGTTTTTTGGGGAACCAAAAAGGTTCTTCTATGGTGTCTGTGGAATATAATAAGATTTGACCCGTCTTTTTCTTGTGTAGAATTGTTTTTGCATTCTTTATTCACAGTGGTTGTGTCTGTGTGTCTTTCCACAGAGTCATGGGCTCTGGAGAGACGCCCATTCTAATAGTGGGCAACAAGCGTGATCTGCAGCGAGGTCGCGTCATCCCCCGACACAGCGTATCTGACTTAGTCCGAAAGAGCTGGAAGTGTGGATACGTGGAGTGCTCTGCCAAGTTCAACTGGCACGTTTTACTGTTGTTCGGAGAGGCTCTCCGCAGCATGGGTTGCGCCCGCTGCAAACACGTCCATGCGACCATCCGTTTCCAGCGGGCGCTCAGGAGAGAGCGATGTGTCCTAATGTGAGGACTTCTGCGATGGTCATTGTGAAGCGATTTATGGGATCTGTCAGGCGATGGATGCTCGGTTACTGTGTGGGTGATAACCCTCTTGCCAAGGAACTTAACATTTGGGATTTTAGCTACGGACAGATGTGGTCTTAAAACAGGAAGTCCATGTTGCTTCATTACCTAAGCCTTCAAATTGATGTCTCTCCTTTTGGACTGAGAGAACACAACGAACATCTCTGCCTTTTATCTTAGAAATCCAAATAGCTGGTGGAAGGTGACAAAAAGCAAATCAGCTTTAATGTTACATTAGTATGTCATTGCTTATGTTCCGGCCAGGACAGAACATGGGACGCTCCTCTATGTTTATGAGTAAGGTTGGGTATTGTAGCGATTTCTGTTCTGATTCTGCTTATCGATTCCTGTTCTTATCTATTCCCAGTCAAACATTTAGATATCAAACATATTTATTCTGTTTTTTTGCAAAACATTCAGCTGAATAACATAAGCAAAAATCATCAGTCTAAAGAGCAACTAACTAATATACATTTCTAAAAATATTAATAGAAATATTAAGGATAAGTATACAGTCAGTAATACAAATAAGCAAATTAGTAATAGCTCAAATAAATAGTTTTATTTTTTCTAAATAAAATATAGATTAATCCTTATTAAGTTAAGCTCAGTGAGTGATCTTTTTCTTTTGTTATAGATTAACATTTATAACAGACTGCAGCAGGTTTATTAGGCTGCTGTCACTTTAAGAGCTGCACGAATACAATATACTGTTTCACATGGCTTTTCGTTCGGAACTGTTTACGTTCACTTAAGATTTAACCGACTGTTTTACGAGAATATTTTGTTTGTATTTGTCCGTTCAGACGTAGACCATATTCGTTCACTACATGAGAGGCAGCTTTATGTGTGCGATCCAGAGTCGGCGCCAGAGCAGATCTACTGGAGGGGCATTGGGTCATCAGCGGGGGGGCACTGCCGTTTAAGCAAAAAAAAAAAAAAAAAAAAAAACCGAAACACCTTTTATTATTATAATTATTATTTAAAATTATTATTTGCGAATTTCCCCACCACTTTTTGCCAGGGTCGATGTTGTCCCAGCACTTTTATACATCTCGCGGCACGGATGTACCAATACAAATAAATATCCGGTTTACAGAGCATTCATTTGTTAAATAAGAGGCGATATAGCACGCTGAAATGTGTTGTTTTTTAAATCAAGTGATCAAAGTGCTCGTTGACTCGATCTGTGGTGCTGATAAAGTGTTCTCTTGTGTCTCGCGCTGCCACAATAAACATCTTCACACGGACGCGCGCTTGATCTGTTGCGGCGAAATCTCTATTCGTACAAGTAAAATGCACTCAAACATGTCCCTGCTTGACAACCACTGATAAACATAATCGGTTATAATGATGGGGAAAAAAATATCTAAACGAGTGTGGACTCAAAACCACAATCTCATGCATGCCAGTCTAAATTTCTACCACTGGACCAACAACACTTGCGATAAAAAATAGAATTGGATGCATGTATTTCTTCACGTGAAAATTCTTGGCACCAACACATTACATCCAATTAGACAACAAATTAAACACAATGTGCTATTCAAATAGATTGCTGGACATTTGGTATTGTATAGCCTACATCTGATTTATGATTTAGCATTGTATTAGAAACTGTGGTAGGAGGGGCATCAATGAGCGCTAGGGGGGGCACGGCCCTCGAATGCCCCACCATAGCGCCGACCCTGGTGCGATCTGGATTTAACCGTGTTAAAATGTGCACACAGGAATTGATAAGCATCAAAATTAAATTTTTTAACAAGTATCTGATTCTTGACCTTGACATATCTGATTCCAGAATTGGGATTGATTTTCGATTTAATTCCCAACCCCTACTAAACTTAAGGATCGTGAAGTGTTTCAAAGCTCAGACACTTATAATGTTCCACACAACACAAATTATACAAAAGTCTTTGTTCTTTGGGCACTTTCGTGTATTTAAAGGGATAGTTCACCCAAAAATAGCATAATTTACTCACTTCTGTGTTGTGCCAAACCTGACTGTCTTTCATATGTGGAATACAAAAGAGAAATTTTAATAATGTGGTGGTCGCTCTTTTCCATGCAGTTATATCGAATGGTTACTGAAGCTTTCAAGCTTAAACATAGACACAAAACACCATAAAAGTATTATAAAATGATCCATATGGTTCTGAAATGTTATTTTTCTTTTTAATTAAAGGAGAACTCCGGTGCAAAATGAACCTTTTGTCTAATAAAACATCGGTACCTAGTCAACCGTTCTCTGAGATTTGTTTTCGTGATAATCGAATGTAAAGAGTTTTATCTCTAAAAACTGTTTAGCGTATAATGCTAGTACTGGGGGCATTGACTAAGTAAAAAGAAATCGCAAGGCTCAAAATAGCCCCACACTAACACAGTAACATAATGAGGGTCCCTACATGCAAAACGAAGTATTGAGAACTTTGTAAGTGTACAGACTGTTTAATAAGAAGATACTTTATGACGACAGTTCACTTCGTGTATACAGGCGGCGCCATCTTTGGAAAACAGTCATGACAAGTCAAACCACGAACGTTGTGCTGAGTGATCTGAACTGTATGAAGTTCAGCGAACTTCTGAACTGTATGAACAGCGTTCGGGGATCGACTTATCGAGACTATTTTCGAAGATGGCTCCTGTCTGTATACGCGAAATGAACTGTCGTCATAAAGTATCTTCTTATTAAACGGTCTGTACACTTACAAAGTTCTCAATACTTCGTTTTGCATGTATGGACCCTCATTATGTTACTGTGTTAGTGTGGGGCTAATTTGAGCCTTGTTAGTGGTATAAACTAGCGATTTCTTTTTACTTAGTCAATGCCCCCATTACTAGCATTATACGCTTAACCGTTTTTAGAGATAAAACCCTTTACATTCGATTATCACGAAAACGAATCTCAGAGAATGGTTGACTAGGTACCGATGTTTTATTAGACCAAAGGTTCATTTTGCGCCGGAGTTCTCCTTTAATAACAGAAGTAATATGTTACAGTATGATGCATGAAATCTTAAGTCTCCATTCATTGTAATTGCATGAAAAAGAGTGACTAGTAAATATTACTAAAAGTTCTTTTGAAAGCCATGAGGATGAGTAAATAATGATAAATCTTGAACTATCCCTTTAAGGTATGTCTTGATACTGTGTCTTATCTCAAAAATGTAATTTATGCCGAGGTACGAGAATTTTTCCCACTTTGAAATGCCGTAGACACATTCAATCAAGTCACAAGGGCAAGAGGAAAATATCATTTAAATGTAAATGTGTTATAAATGTATGATCTTACACTGTGGAACCCACTTTGTCATACAGAGGCTTGGATGGTGTTTGTGTGAGGCAAGTAAAAGACTAAAAATATTCCCTTCTTTAATAATTTAACCAACCACATCTCTGGCACATATACAGACCAGCTTCTTCTACACATTCCAGTCTGATCAAAAACATGTTAAATACAAATGTCCGTGTGTAAAGAGCACATTTAATAAATGGACACTGGAGACAGAACGTGCATTCTCTTCTGTGTGATGTACGAGTACAAAAATCAATACTTAAGTGAACATCCGTATCTGTTCTTCAGAAGTGTATCTGCCCTACTGTTTATACAATGCACTATACGCACTCAGCAATAAGGTGTGATAAGTAGCACGTACTTTAGAAATCAGTGAGGCATTGCTTGATGTTGTGGCTCACCGATGGTGAAGCTTACTAATGTTCATTAATCCTTGAACAATCAAAGAATAATTTCAGGTAACGTGACAAACGGAAGCACTTCATTCTCAATAATTGGATGAGATTCAGTCAAATTCGAAAAACTGAATTTCATTACAAGTCCCCAGAATTGAGGTGCTCACAGTATCATGCTCTCACAGTCCTCAGAGGACATCTTCAAAGCGTTCCTCTCCACTGACAAGAGTCTGGGGATGAAAGGGGACTGTACAAGGAGAAGAAAGTTGCAAGGGAGCACAGCTGCTGTAGTGTGACAGGCTGCAGTTCTGATGAAGCTATTATTAGCTCCAGACTTATGCCAAGAGTTATTTATAAAACCTGCAGCCAAAAACACGGATGCACAAGGTGACTTAGAAATGGCAGGGAAGAAATGGTAGCGGAAGGCTTGGAGGAGCTGAAATGAATAAACAGCGAACAGGGACAAATTCAAACCCTCACTATTAGGAACACTTGTTCAATTTCTCATTAATGCAATTATCTAATCAACCAATCACATGGCAGTTGCTTCAATGCATTTAGGGATGTGATCCTGGTCAAGACAATCCCCTGAACTTCAAACTGAATGTCACAATGGGAAAGAAATGTGATTTAAGACATTTTGAGCATGGCATGGTTGTTGGTGTGAGTATTTCACAATCTGCTCAGTTACTGGGATTTTCACTCACAACCATTTCTAGGGTTTACAAAGAATTGTGTGAAAAGGGAAACACATCCAGTATGCGGCAGTCCTGTGGGCCAAAATGCCTTGTTGATGCTAGAGGTCAGAGGAGAATGGGCCGACTGATTTAAGCTGATAGAAGAGCAACTTTGACTGAAATAACCACTCGTTACAACCGAGGTATGCAGCAAAGCATTTGTGAAGCCACAACACGCAAAACCTTGAGGCGGATGGGCTACAACAGCAGAAGACCCCACCGGGTACCACTCATCTCCACTACAAATAGGAAAAAGAGGCTACAATTTGCAAGAGCTCCAAAATTGGACAAGACTGGAAAAATGTTGCCTGGTCTGACGAGTCTCGATTTCTGTTGAGACATTCAGATGGTAGAGTCAGAATTGGGTGTAAACAGAATGAGAACATGGATCCATCATGCCTTGTTACCACTGTGCAGGCTGGTGGTGGTGGTGTAATGGTGTGGGGGATGTCTTCTTGGCACACTTTAGGCCCTTTAGGACCAACTGGACATCGTTTAAAAGCCACGACCTACCTGAGCATTGTTCCTGACCATGTCCATCCCTTTGTGGCCACCATGTACCCATCCTCTGATGGCTACTTCCAGCAGGATAATGCACCATGTCACAAAGCTTGAATCATTTCAAATTGGCTTCTTGAACATGACAATGAGTTCACTGTACTAAAATGGCCCCACAGTCACCAGATCTCAACCCAATAGAGCATCTTTGGGATGTGGTGGAACGGGAGCTTCGCGCCCTGGATGTGCATCCCACAAATCTCCATCAACTGCAAGATGCTATCCTATCAATATGGGCCAACATTTCTAAAGAATGCTTTCAGCACCTTGTTGAATCAATGCCATGTAGAATTAAGGCAGTTCTGAAGGCGAAAGGGGGTCAAACTCAGTATTAGTATGGTGTTCCTGATAATCTTTTAGGTGAGTGTATTTAAAATATACAAATTCGTATCTGTACATAGACATTCATGATGTGACAAACATTCACATGGCTCGGATGTCAGTGTATCAGTTTTTATTAAATGGGGAAAGTTCCATCACTTGAGCACCTGATTGTATGGAAGAATAACATCTGATACGTCACGTCTACAGGCCCCTGACTGCCCGAGAGTGAGAATGAGGAAAAATGCTCATATTAAAAGTATATAAATTCAGAAAATCTACGTTGAAAACCTTAATCTAAAGTGTAATAATAAGTCAAACCCAAATTATATGTTAAAGAGCTCTGAATGTAGCATATTTAAACCAAAAATGAAAAAGTTAGCTCCAGTGTTGTTTTGGACCCCATCGACTTTCATCGTATTGACAAAAACAGATTAAACATCTTATTTTGGGTTCTGCAGAAATACAGGTTAGTAACAACGCAAGTAAATTATAAAAGTATTTTGTTTTTAGGGGGGGGGGGCTATCTCTTTAACTTTGGAACTGGTAAACATCTTAGTGCATTTAGTAAACAATTACAAATTCATTAAACACTAAAGAGTAAACAAAAATAACAAAAATCCCTTACAATATTTGACAGAACCAATGGCATTAAAACTATTGTTGTCAATTAGTTTTTTTATACAGTAAATGTATGTACTTTCCACTCAAAATATGCATAAATTAATCAACAAACCACCAAAGTATCTCATTAAGGTTAAGGTGACTTTAATCTCTGATGAAAGTGTTGTGCTTTTTGTAAAGGTTTTTAAAGGCTTTCTGGAAAAAAAATCTACTTTTGAATAGCAAGTAAAATAGTTCCTCACTAACATATGGCTTGTTTGAATTGGTAGTCAAATTCTCAGTAAACTCCAAAATTACAAATGTCTGAGTCGTTGATTAAACCCAGGTTTCCAGATCTTGATCTCCATGTGGTTCCTTGTTTGCTCTTTGGCACTTTGTTTCACTCGGTATTGGGACCTGAGATTTTGGTTTAGCCCAAGTGTTTCCTCGAGAGTTGTCTGTGCCGAAAGGCCCATGTTGGGAATCATTTCCTCTGTGGTTTTGAGAGTTGGCATCTTTGCAGCTTGTTCTTTTGTAAAAAACTGGTTTTGGGATCTTTGAAGGCTTTCGGTCGGACCTGTGGTCACGTCTTGGTCGCACACAGGGTTTTAGTTTCAGCTTGAAGAAGGATGGCACTCTCTCTGGCTTCCTTAAGGATCTTCTTTGTTTGATTGAACAACTCTTGGGCTTTTTTACATGTTCAGTTCCTAAATTTGATACTTTGCCAGGGAGAATTTTGGTCTCAACATTTGAGTTGTCAACTGGCACTTTACCAAGTTCAGCAGTCTCCTTTGAATCCATACTGGATCCCAATGAGGACCAAGAACTGGTCATGCAAGGTTTAGAGACCTTAAGGTGATGTGCGGTAGTGTGGTCTTCCACCACCTTGCCTCGGAGACCGTTAGGAAGAGTGTTCATCCACTTCTCAACTGACACCTTCTCCATCTTCCTTTGGCCACCAGAGAGTTCAGCCATGACTGCATCAAAAGCCCGATCAAGACTTGCTGATCTGTTGGAGGCTTTCCAGTGGTCAGATGGAATCGCTCTCGAATTCTTAGGAGTCTCGTGATGCTTCTCATCGGAGCTAGTGCTGCTTTCTGTGTCGATGCTTAGCTGCTGTAGATTGCACAAGATTTCCTCCTCTAGGCTCTTGTAGAGGATGGCTTCCTGAGAAGGGCTGAGAGGAGGAGGAGTGAAGAGATAACTTGTCTCAATTCCTCCCTCTTCACCGCCTAAAGACTTCTGAAACTGCACAATGTTCGGCACATGTAGAGCCAAGTGCTGTACCTTCTTGCTGGGTGATCTATCAGCTCCTTGTTCAAGTTGGCCTTTCTCAGTTGCATCCAGAATATTTTTCGGTTTACCAGGTGACTCTTCTTGAGAGATCTTAGCTGGAGTTCTAGATCTGGTGTTTTGTGCTTCTGAGATGGCCCCTGTTATACCTTTAAAAGGGGAAAAGTTGCGGATGAAATGTTTGCCCTCTGGCTCATGAATAGTGATGTTCGGAGGTTTGGAATATGAATGTGTGTTTCCAGGAAAACTCCATCCCGGACTTTCTTTCATGTCAGAAACAAGGTGCGCTCTGTCCTCGTTCTCTCGTCCTTTTACTCCAACGGTGGAATTTTGTCTCAGTTTGGAAACAAACTGCGATTTGGTCCAGGTTTGACCTAGATTCTTCTCAGGCGCTTGCTGGCGTTGGATCTGATTGGTGTTTCTTTGAAGGACTAGAGGTGTTTGAGGACGCTGTATCTCAGGTTGTGGTGTGGTTGGATGATGGGTTGCCCGAGGAAGACTGCTTGTCAGACGAGGTGTTGGTGACGTCCGTGTTTCGTTTCTGCCTGTCCTACTGGAGGAGTTTGTTTTCAAGCTATCTTTTCTGTCAACACAATTGTACTCTCGAGTACTCGGTCTCTCCCTTAATCTGAAAAGAAGAAGAAAAAACACCCACACATAGACTTGTTAGGGTCAGTGAGTCTGTGTTTCCTCAACAGCTGTTAAAAAGTATCATGTATTTAGGGACAACAATATACATAATTAAGCATATGGTAATACAAACTTATTTATAATACAAAACATTTTATCATATCAGAAGGGATTTGTTCAAATGGACACTTCATGGACATACATTAAACAACCTATTTGCAGACCCACTCTCATTTACACCAGGCATTGGCATGTGTTTATCTGCAGGTGGTTTGGGACTGATTTCGACTACATTTAATTAGGATGTAAATGCAAATGAGTTTTAGTTATTGTCATTAGCCTTTTCCTTCTCTTTTGCTGCTTTTATTCTGAAAAAGAAACCCGACAGTTTTGCGGTTTGCTTACCAGCTTTACTCAACAATAACCTTTGCAAGAAATTAGAGGAAACATTTAGAATTACAGTATCTATCAATGTTTTTTTATTTTGTATTCAGTAAATTAATGCAAACACTCATGTAATATGTATAATATGCATTTTGCACTTAAGTATTGCATCTATATGCAGTCACACTGGCGATTTATCCCGATGAATCCCGATGAATATAATTTCAGATAAAATATATTAAATATATAAATATATAAACATATTAAATATCTTTCTAAGATTTTTTCCATTTTTCTAAAACCCTCATATTAGATATGAGTTATTTATCCAAAAATGGAAATTCTGTCATCATTTACTCACCCATATGTTGCTCACAGTCTCATTCATCTTTGAAACACAAAATTAAGATATTTTTTAATAAAATCGGAATAATTTTTAGTCCCTCCATTGACAGCTAAGTAACTACCACTTTAACGCTTTAAAACTTTCATAAAGAGTTTATAAAACTATTCCATATGAATAGAGCTTTCTTAGGATTTCTGAAGAGACGGTTCAGTTCAAGTAAGTTCGGTTGAACTTCTGTTTATGTTAAAATGTAAATAAACACTTTAATTAAATAGTTTCATCATATAAAGCCATCATGTCTCTACAGAAAAATTGGGACATTGGGACAACATGAGGGTGGGTAAAAGTAATTAAAGTAAGGTTAATTACCATTGCTCTCTCCTTTTGTTATTCTACTAATTTTATTACAATGATTTACTAGCCTAACATGTGATCAATAAATGAGTGTATAATAGAGACTATAACTCTACTATAATAGGGTAATAATAATGAGATATAATAGCCTCTGTAATTACATCTTTTTTTTTTTGTTTGGACATTACTATTGAGATGTCTTGATGAAGTGGAGCAAGTTTGTTTCTTAGTGACTATTTAATAGCTGAAGGGGCAAGCTCAGTTTTTGTTTTGTCTGTCTCTCTCGATGTATTGTACACAACCTTTTGTTTATGCCTCTGGGTGCTGTTATTGTCTGGGTCTCAGACAACAAGTAAAGTGTCTGTGAAAATCCAAGGGTTTAAGTAGATTTGTATCTTCCTGTCAGCCAGCTCTTTGGCTGCCTCAGAGAAAGATTTTTAATTAGACCAATCACATTCCAACAAGTTCTGACTGAAGAAAAAATCCATTGCGATTTAACAGAAATAACAACAGATCTTTTCTTATGCATTGTGACGTGGTAAGAAAGGGTTATACACATGATATGATTGGAGAAGTCCTGCATATGTTTAAATTAAACATTCTCAAATGATGGTTCACAATATTATCAATAAAAAGCATTTAGGAAATAGATAGGGTGAATTAATATTTCATGCCAACTTCAAAGTCAATCAAAACTTAAAGGAGTAGTTCACTTTAAAAAAAAAATTGCTGATAATTTACTCACCCCCATGTCATCCAAGATGTCCATGTCATTCTTTCTTCAGTCGAAAAGAAATTAAGGTTTTTGATGAAAACATTCCCGGATTTTTCTCCATATAATGCACTTCAATGGGAACCAAACGGTTCAACGTCCAAAAGACAGTTTCAGTGCAAACTGCAAAATGTTCAAAGGGCTTTAAACAATTTCAGACGATGAATAAGGGTCTTATCAAGTGAAACGATCGCTCATTTAAAAAAAAATAAATAAAGTTTAAGTTCTATAAGCTCTGTGCTCAGTTCTGTGATGCTTTCGTGACTTTCCTGTTCGAACTCGTTCATGAAAATGAACAAATCTTTTTCCGAGTCAATTCGTTCATTTCATTCGTTCAATGAACCAAATGGTTCGAGAAAAGATTTGTTCATTTTGATGAACGAGTTCGAACAGTAGAGTCATGAACGCGCATCACAGAACAGAGCAAGGCGAGCATTTGAGCTTATAAACTTAAAACTTTGTTATTTATGTTTGACATGACCAATCGTTTCGCTAGATAAGACCCTTATGCCCGATTTTGGCTCGATCCGTTTGACGTAGGGTGTCGTGGGGATTCATAAACGACAACGGGCGTCGGGATGCAAGATTCGATCGTATCATCTCCTATAGTGTGTCATAGTGGGCGACAACCTACGTCGCGTCTGTGATGCTTCACGACATCACGACAAAAAGACTAGCATGTTTCATTTTTTTAATGGTCATCCACGATGTATGAGGAGCACAGAAGCTTTTCCGTATACAACTTTCAAAAATGGCGAAACGAAAGAGAGACGATGGGGCTAACGTTAAAACTAAAAGTAAAAATATATAAGAAAACAATATTTTACCTCAAGTTCTCTTTGGAGGATTGACAGCCCATACCGTCCTCTTCAAGCAATCCAGGAACGTGTCCATTGTCGGGTTTTCTTTCTTTTTTTACTTTTTTCTGAACACGGACAGCCAATACAACACTCCGCTTCACCCATTGTTTGTTTACGTTCGTTTCCGGAAGTCACTCGCTACTAGTTTGACATCACGCGCGCCGTTAAAGACAGCATGCGATCTTGCGACTGGTCAGGAAGCAACGTGTAGTCTGACATGTGTCTTGTCCACGTCACGACAAGATTTTAGGAGTCAAAATCGCGTAATCTGACACAGTGACTATCGTAACAGACAAAAAAATTGTGTAATCTGAACCAGGCATTAATCATCGTCTGGTGTCGTTTAAAGCCCTTTGAACAGTTTGCACTGAAAGTGTCTTTTGGACCTTGAACCGTTTGGTTCCCATTGAAGTCCATTATATGGAGAAAAATCCTGGAATGTTTTCTTTTCGACTGGTGAAAGAAAGACGTGGACAACTTGGATGACATGGGAGTGAGTAAATTATCAGCAAAAGTTTTTTTTTTTTTTAAGTGAACTACTCCTTTAATAGTTAAATAGTTATTTAGGTACAACTTAGCAAACCAACTGGGCACCTACTTGTTAGGAGAGGGGCTGTGTCTCCGGCGGGTGGGCTGATGTTCAGGGTCGGGGGAACAGGAGGAGCGTGGAGGAGAGTGCCGTCCTCTCTGAGCTCGGTATGGGGATGAAGGGGTCCAGACAACTGGCTGAAGAGGGGACTGCGTTCGACTCAGCATAAGAGTGGTCTGAGAAGCACACTGCGCATCAGGTCGTGGGGTGGTCAACCGCTCCCTGATCTCATGGACTGGAGTAGCTGGGCGTGCGGTCAACTTATGGACTGATATGTATGTGTGAGAGAGAAATAAAAGAGGTTTTCCAGGAAATATTGATCCAATTCCTTAAAGTGCCCCTATTATGCTTTTTTGGATAATACCTTTCATGTAGAGTGCTCTATAGCTGTTTGGGAATATAAAAGGTCTGCAAAGTTTCAAAGATCAAAGTGCATGACAAATAGAGTCATTGTCTCCTACAAGAAAATTAATTCTGAACCGCCTGAAATGAGTCGTCAGTAATTCCAGTCTTACTTTTGCATGAACCTACATAGGTTTGTAACCCATTTGCATTATGGAGTTCATTGGTAGTCTACAAACAACATCTACTTTGAAGGTGTAGCTGAGGCGTGGAAGAGTTTGGCTTGGGTTGAGAAGACTCTTTTCTGTTCTGCGAACTTGCACTTCTAAAGGGGGTGTGAAAAGTTGTGGTTAAAATTCATTTTTAAAATGATACCACAGCAGTTTAACTTAAAGGGTTAGTTCACCCAAAAATGAAAATTCTGTCAGTATTTACTCACCCTCATGTTGTTCCAACCCCGTAAGACCTTCGTTCATCTTCGGAACACAAATTAAGATATTTAAGATATTAAGATCGCTCCTGCACACTAGTCCATAGGCTTCTTGAGGGAATGACTCTTGCTGGCAGCGAAAAGTCATTAAAGACATCGTTAAAATAGTCCGAGTGACTACAGTGGCTCAATTTTAACTTTATCAAACGAAAACGAAGCGAACGAAAACAAAAATAACGACTTTATTTCAACTATTCACTTCCTTCTCTATGGGCCTGTAGTCAGTTAACGTAGTGTGATAGCGTAGAGCTGACGTATAATAACAGAAGCTTACACTATTAAACTAGTAACCTGACTCGCGCAGAGGGAGAAATAAACGAATAGTTGAAATAAAGTTGTTATTTTTGTTGTATTTTTTCGCGCAAAAAGTGTACTCGTCGTTTGGTAAACCTTAGATTGAGCCACTGAAGTCACTTGGACTATTTTAACAATGTCTTTAATAACTTTTCGAGGACAGCAAGTCATTCCCTCAAGAAGCCTATGGACTAGTATGCAGGAGCGATCTTAATATCTTAAATATCGTAATTTGTGTTCCGAAGATGAACGAAGGTCTTACGGGGTTGGAACAACATGAGGGTGAGTAAATACTGACAGAATTTTCATTTTTGGGTGAACTAAACCTTTAAATTCAGATACAGACTGATCTCATGAAATGGCGTATGTATGACACGCCAATTCGTATTTCCATTTTTGGCGTGCTATCAACCCGCATAATCGCTTTTCAGCGTGTTTATGAACGCCATTGACTTAACTTCACATTACTGTATATATAAATATATGACCTACCTCAACCCCGTCCCTAAACCTACCCATCAGTGGGGTTAATACCATTTATGAGTCTTCCCCTACCATCCTAGGAAAGAAAATATCGCTCCCCAGATGTAGATCTACATTTTGCTTCGTTTCGCGCGGGCATTTAACGGCGTGTACAAACACGCGGAATCACTCGGGCATTTAACGGCGAAGACATACACGCATACACGCGGATAGCTCAAAATGCATATAGATAACACGCCACTTGACTTGAAAGTGCCGTGTATGTTTACGCAAAAGTCATGATGTCATGTCGTCAGATATGGTAACAGCGTTTCGTTTTCGACACACACTGTAAGCTGTAGACCAATCACAACAGACTGGGCAGACAACAGACATCTCTTAAGAGAGATGAAATCCTTGATCAAACCGTTACTGAGAGAAAAGAAGTGATGCTGCAATGTATATTATAAGAAAATGAAAGTGTTTTTTGACCTTGGATGCATGTAAACCTATTGTAGAAGACTTCCTAAACAAACTTAAGAGTTTTTAAAATAGCATAATAGGGGCACTTTAAGTTATTTTCATATACATGTTTTAAGATGTGATGAAATATTAGTCAAGATTATATAAACAGTATCGCACTAAGGCATAATGTATCATAATGTATGTACTTTATAATGCCAAATCTTAAAGGGAAAGTTCACACACAAATGTCTGGGTTGAGAATGATAAACTACCACAAACCTTTCACTGTTTATATAATTTCTGATGCTAAGTTTTGTAGGTAGTTGTAGGTGTGTATTTGTGAGCGTACTGAGAGAAGTGCAGCGGCAGGGATCATGTTTGTCGAGATAGTGCTCCAGGGTGTCCCATCCTCCGCCCACTCGCACCATAACATGATTCCTCAAAATCTACACACACACAGACACCTTAATAAAAATGTATGAGCATGTTCATGTCTCATGTGGAAAACATACTTTTCCATTTATGTTCAACAAAGCTACCGAGACAGTAAAATACATATTTTAATGACTATGATAGATCAACATTTTCCAGCATAGATGGGCAGTAGTGCTTAGAAAAATGCTAAATTAACAAAGAAAAAAACAAGGTTTAATATACCCGAACAAATATGAGAGTGTTGGAGTCTCCAACCCTGTATTTGCCCTCTGATACCTTCACCATGGGGAACTGGGATGGACAAGTGCATCGGCTTATCAGAAACTGGACCTGCACACACACACACATACACACACAAACGTTATTGTATTCTAAGCAGATGTAACCTGCCACTTTGAAAGGCTTCATAAATCAGAAAGGAGAGGACCCACAAATCAAAATGACAGGCTAATCCAAAGTTCTCTTTTTTTCCTATCCTGCAAATCATGTTAAATGCTAAAAAGAGGCATGAATCTTGTAGATAGAGATGGATGTTCAGCTTTGACCCTTTGGGTGTCCTAGTTTCCAAGTCATCCTCTTGAACGCCACATCAGTTGGATAACTGTGGGGTTCGCGCTTCAGGTGGTGTAGTGGTTAAAGCCTAAAGCTGGTAACTAGAAGGTTGGTGGTTCAATCACTGGAAACGATGAGCTGCCAACATTACAAAGCACTTAATTACAGATTGCTTGTGTACTTATTATAGGCAAGTCGCTTTAGATTAAATTAGATCATCTGCTAATTGAATTATTACTAACAACAAACATGAAATGTTCAATGTTCACTAGTGATTAGACAGCAATGGTGAAAAAAATAAGACATTATCTCTTTGATTTGGAACATTTTAGGACCACTGACTTTTTACTTTTAAAATGTAGCACATTTCACCCCATTTAAAGGGATAGTTCACTTTGAAATACATTTTTGGTATGTTTTAGCTTACCTCAAGGGCATCCAAGATGTAGGTGTCTTTGTTTCCGCAGTATTTTCAATTTTGATATTTTTAGGTCAAACCGTTCTTGTCTGTCAGTCATATAATGCAGGTCTATGGTCATCACCTCAAAGAGCATGCACAGAGAAGTCCAAATTAAACATGATTTAATGACTCGTAAATGTAAGTCCACATTGATGGACTAAGACACGAACCGAGCGGTTTGTGTGAGAACTAACAGTATTTATATCGTTTTTACCTCTTGTAACCACAGCCATGTCCAAGTGATCTGAGGGCGTGAGCACTTTGTGGCTGTGTAAAAACGATATAAATACTGTTTGTTTTCTCACACAAACCGATTGTTTCGTGTCTTAGGCCATCGGTGTGTTATGAGTCATTAAATAATTTCTAATTTGGACTTCTTTGTGCATGCTCTTTGAGGTGGTGACCATAGACCTCCATTATATGACTGACAGACAAGAACGGTTTGACCTAAAAATATCAAAATTGAAAATACTGCCCTTGAGGTAAGCTAAAAAATATCAAAAATGAATTTCAAAGTGAACTATCCCTTTAAATTCTCATTAGTATAATCAAAAATTATTTTAAAAAGTAAAAAAAAAAAACTGTCTGGAAGGCATTTTTTTATTCAAAATAATTAAAAAAAATTTAATACAATTTTTCCAAATTGTAAAAATTCTTTAAATTTTTTTTATAATAAATAGTTTGTATGCCCTGCTCTTAACTTTTATGCTGTGCTCAATTTTTGTCAAACATGTTACAATGCAAAAATATTAAAGTTGCTATTTTTCTTTTCATTATGCAGTTTTTGATTTCATTTGAATTTGCAGCGGAATACAAAATAAGTTTCGTGAGATTCACCATTTTAATCCACATTTTATGCAAAAATTGCTTAATTTAGATTCAATTCTTAATTAAAATCCAATGCCTTCTGCACATCAGTAAACATGAATTTGATCTTTGATGCAGCACCATCTCATCCAGGTTCTGGATGTTTATCAAGCGCCTTTGTGGTTTGGGTTGAGCAGGCAAGTCCTCCATCTCCCCACGAATCTCCTCCTCGATCTCCTGCTCCAGCTGAATGAGGACCGGCGAAGCCATGCCGAAACGAGAGGCCCGTCTCGCCACCTCAAGAAGGCACAGCACAAAATTCTTCTCATTCTTACGCAGGACAAGGTCGTCTGTCTCGAACATCAGTACGTCTGCAGTGGGGGTAGAGTTTAAGAAGGTAACAGAAAACAGAGAACATTTTGATTTTGTTGCGCTGATCTATATAACAGATGTCTTAGACTTTTACTGACAACTTGTAAGTTTCTGTCTAATGTACTGTTTTCTTTCTAATGTACTGTCTTTAGCCTATTCCTTTCCTTTCCCTAAGTGGTTATTCCACTTGTCAGGCCACCATTGTAAATAAGAACTTGTTCTTAATGACTTGCCTGTATAAAAAAAGATGCAACAACAAGCAACAGCAAAGTTTCAGTTACTTTATATCATTATAGGCTAGAAAATGAGTTAATTCGTTCGAATTAGCTATCATTGTAGGCTATAGAAAGAAGAACAGCGATGGGGTTATGTACTACAAGTAACATGAGTTACGTAATCAGATTACTTTTTTCAAGTAACGAGAAAAGTAATTTATTATTTTTACATTTACAACAAAATATCAGCTTTACTTTCTCAAATAAGTCCCCTCTCTTGTCTCCATGTTGAGTTAAATCAGGAGAAAATCCAGTTGTTGTGTGCGCAATATAATGTAAATATGATGGTTATTGTAGTTCTAGAATAAATGTGAGCATTAGTCATCTCACTTACACAAAACAGATTCAGTATTCTTCAAAATTAATAAAAACATTCAAATTAAATATGTTAAATACGGTATCACAAAAATACTTGGTGTATTTAATGTCACTTCATTAAGCAATGTCTTTGCTGCTGACCTTTAATAATTCAATTAAACCATACCAATAAACAAAAATGACTTGTTAAACATATATAAAGATAGATATTTATATATAAAGAAATTGTGTTGAAATTTCGTCTCCGTTTACTATTCTTCTGCTATCCCGAATGGCAGCACAGCTTGTGATTGTTTTTACTGTACATGTGTGAATTTGCATTTCACTGTGAAAGGAAATCTCTCATTTGTTTAAATAAATATATGTTTATTTGCAAAAATATAACTTTTATTCGTTTGTTTGTTTGTTTTTAATAAGAAACACACGAGCATGCCCAGCCCAGCCTAGAAAAAGTAACGTACGTCCCCAACACTGAAGAAGAAGGATTCTATTGGTCATGTGATGCCCATAAGACTGCATGTAAAGCCTATTGTTATGACTGGAGTCTTCCTCGCATGTGAGTATACATGATTTTAAAGATATCGAATGTACTTTTAGCTTCAATATGTGTAAAACCTGTCATTGGGAATGACTAAATTTGAGCAAACAGGCCGAACACTTGACAAGCTTCGCGACTAGTGTGAGCTCACAGCACTCTCTAGGGGTAAGTGTCTGAATTGCAAACAAGTGATTTTCTATCAAGCGGTTTTTATGTGATAAAGTGATAATTCGACAAATATTAAACGTCACATATACATGTAAAATAATCAAACGTACCCGGAATGCTCATTTCTTTTCGACACCAGTTTATGAAATTCGTCACATTATCCCGGGCCAGGAATGTTGTTGGATGTGCAGAGCTGACGAAAGTGACTCCAGAAGCGGGTAGTTGGATCTCAGTGGTTCCGCTCTTCTTCAGAAACTCATCCGCCACTCGTGTCACGTTATTAGCATGAGCACACAGAAGCGCGCCTGTTTCCAACACCTCCATAATATTATTTACGTCAATACCCATGTTGTATAAATCTCCCAGCCATTCTGCCAGGTCTTCTTTCATGGCATAGAGATATTCCTCTCCGGATTTGAAAGGCTTGATGCTTTGATTGGACGCATGCTGAATTCCAGACATGGCTTGGATTGAATCAAATCAATGTAATAGACTCAAAAACACATTTAAATGTTCCAGTGTTGTAAGGGGAAAAATAAGACTCGCATAAAAAATACGGTCGAATTAGCAGCATTGTGTGACAACGAAACAGTATAAAAGTTTAAACTCGATTCATCGACTCCAAACACTTATTTCCGTCCTAAACTTAGTGTAAATATAAGTGCGTGAAATGAAACGTTGTGCAGTGTTGTGTTGCAAAGTTTCAGCGCTTTTTTAATGTTGTCAGGGTGTGTGAGCGAGGTATCGTCCTTGGTTACCAGATAGCGTCTTAATCCAAACACTCCAGTTAACCATTTACTGCCCATAAATTCATTTCCTTACGGCAAACAGAAACACATTAATAATAAACACCAAAGTACTCAGGAATATTATAACAATAACATTAATATTGTTGAAACTATCCCTATTATCCCAAAAGTAACAATTATTTTTATATGGAATACTGCAGCATTTATCATAAATGATTTATCAGTGCACATCATCATTATTATTTTAATAATAATATCATAATTTGTAATAACAAAATAACCCCCCCTTCACTTCTCTGATGACGTTTGTGAATAAACATTTTCAGTAGTTCTCTGGGAATCATTCAAAAATAGTAGTTATTGATTAGTTAATAGTGAATTACCACTTTCATCTGTGTGCTATTACTTACTAGTTCCTTAATCAGAGTTTCTTATTAGTTAATAATAGTTACTAGATAGTTAATATCATTGGTTCTTGAGTAGTTATTCATTAATGAAGGAACCGTATTCTAAAGTGTTACCCATATTTTCACACATATGTACTCAATTAAAACTCAAATTAGGTCTTAAAAAATTGTATTGCTAAAAGCTAGAAGAATGTTAGTAGTAGTCATTGAATGAACTGTCACTGAAAAATGCAGATGTAAAAAAAAGAAACAATGACATGCTAAACTTATGATGCAAATGTAACAAAAAAAAAAGAGTTAAAAGAGAAAATGTTGTTCTCATAATTGCAACATAATTGCCTTTAATAATATCATAGATCTTGGTTGTGAAAATAAAATACAGCTTGTAGCAATTCATATTTATACATTTCATTGAAATGAACTAACATTTTTGTTCATCAAATTAAATTTGTCCATTAAGTGTTTTGAAATAATAAATAAGCGTTCATTTTTTAATCTATAAGCATATTCCATGATCATTCATGTTACTGAGAAATATTGCTCAAAATAAGCTCTTTGTGTTGTGGTAGTTACAAAACTAGCCCTAAAAAACAAACCACTAATTTTCTTTATTTTTCTTCTTCTTTCCTGAATATTCTCGTCTTCTCTTTCTATGCTGACCACCACCTCCTCCCTCACTGCGGCCAGTGAAGGTGGGCATCGGTGGCTCAATCTCTCCTGGACGTCCACCTCTGTCTGGGACACTGCCCATTAGTACCTTCAGAAACACATGTTTTATAAATAAGTACAAGTTCACAGATGTTCAACCAGCTTACAATGCCGGAATGTAAATGAACAATGTTTACTCTCTCTGCGTTTGACCTGGACCGAGAAATTCATATCTATTTGTCAGCAACATGCATAATTCAACGGACTATTGACAGCTCCAGAGCTTTCGTGAAAACTACAGATTGTACTTTTGCATTTTTGTATCCAAAACAGTCAGATTGACAGAGGCTTACTAACAACAGGGCTTGACATTAACTTTTTTGCTCACCAGCCACTGTGGCTAATGGTTTTCTGAAGTTACTAGCCACAATTTTGACATTGATACCTTCGTAAAAAAAATGCCATTTAGATATTTTTAATATATCATAATTTTGCAGAAGGTATATTAAGCTGCAGTCACATGCGTTTTCTTTCTCTGTTTACGTTCACTTAACTCACTGAATACTCGCAAAGACTGGCATTTTGACATGTGTGATGCATTTAAGATGTGTGTATTTGACGGTTTAAGTGCAATAAGCGGCGAAAAAGAATGTAATTCACTTCTGAGAGGCGGCTTCACGTGTGTGCACTTTGGGTGCGAGCACAAAATCCGTGGGATTCAGTAAAATTACGTGCAATCCAATGGCGAAAATCAAGCCCTGTAATAGAAACAATATTCATCTGGAAAAGACTACAATTGAAATATATATTTATTTAAATTAAACCTGCCAAAGTGGCTAGGAGGAGCAACAGCGTTACATGTCACTGCTAAAATCCAGACACAGTTGGCGGGTGTTAATGTCAAGCCCTGGTTATTAACAAAACCGAAATGGTAAATGTAGGTTTATCACTGAAAATTGTATTATACTTCCGTCTACTCTTTAAACAGCATTATGGTAAAAATACTATGTCTTCAGGCTTCTGTGCCGAATTTTGACTACTTGATTGCCTAATCCTAACCCCACCCCACATCTAATCCTAAACGTAACCATACTGGGGAATGAGGGGAGTTACACCAGTACATGACAGCGTTTTGCTTCGCTGGTGAACAGAAGGTACTCCCTGTTCACATTCTACCTAATTAACTGGCAAAATAGCATTTTTTTCATCCTCCTTTGCCCAAAAACTCTGGTTTCGCAGTCATCCGGTTTCAAATGGAAACTACAAACACAGAGGTTTTCCTGATTTTTCATTGCAGTGTTCTCTCCATATTTACAATTTGCTAAGAAGTATTTCCTACTCAAGCAAGGTATAGAATGCAGAAGTTACGACGTCACTCTGTAGGCCAAAACGCGGACGTGATTTAGCATTTTAGCACTCCCGGTTCCCTCGCTCTAAACTCTATGGGATTTTTGAATGGGTTTTTGCTAAATCACCTGAAATAAGGTCTGTGGTGAACAAAGCCTCTAAATATTTTCACGTTTTCATCTGCTTGTGGTTTTTTAAACTTTATTGTGTCTGTTTGTGTTTTTTAAAAACTTTATATAGGCTTCAAAATTGATCAATTTTGGATTAACTTGTAAAGAATATCTTGACAGACAAAACGTGTAAGGGTCACAACTCTTTGTTAAACACAGATCTTATTTTTTGCGATTTTCCAAAAGTCTATGGAAAAAATGCATAGCTTTTCTACAAAGTGACGTCATCACTTCGGCACTCTATTTAACTCTGGTCAAGCCTATCCAATAGGAGAAGACTAGGAGTGGCCTTGGTTGGCTACATGCCCAGTAGCATCGATTTCTAAAATGTTTTCACCTTGGCAGTTCTAGCACATAGACAGACAAACTTTAATGAAAGCCCATTTTTCCAGTGGTGAATTGCCCATGTATATCTTTTATTATGTAATTTCCCCTTACTAAATTTAATACACGCGATGCTAGAGAAAAATTCTTGTTACAAGCAAAACTTTGGTGAAGGGCACCTTGTGAACAGCTGTTGAAGGCCCTGCTTTAACTGGCCTAATGCGAGACTCGTCCTCTCTGGTCGCCAACAGCTTAGCAATGGAGACACACGACTCGGGAGAATATGAAAAGGGGGCCATGGAAGAAAGCACAGCACTGCGTTCCTTAAAAGAAAAGGGATAATTTGCTCGGTGAAAACAAATATTTCAATACATACTTGAAGGTTTGCAAAAAAGAAATGTTAGTACCTTCCCCCTCTCTCCCCAAGCAAATGATTGTAGTGTGACATAAAAACGCTTGATAATCATTTGGCGCCGACACTCATAATCCTTACAGAGAGCTCTGTTGATGTCATCAATCTTTTTCTAAAGGTGAAAAAAAATTGTGAAAATATTTGTTATGGAATAGAGTTCTCAAATAGGTCAAATGAAACTTTTTTTGTAATACATACCCATTGCTCAGAGTTCAAATTGGTATTCAGTAACGCTTCTGGAAATTCACCCTCTGGAAGTGATGTCAGCCGTGACTCCACCTGAATGAATGAATGAAGCTCGTATTATGTAAAAAATATACATATATAAATATATAGCGAAATTAAAATTTCAAAAAAGGATTTTTATAGTGGAAAAAGGTTCTTTGGAGATTATTAATGTGCTTTTCAAACTAAGAAAAAAAATGGTTCTTTTAAAGTCACCATGAAGTCAAAATGGACAATTCTTATTTATATTTATATAGAATATTGTCGTATTTATTAGAACGGATTTACCATGCACATCATATTTTATTTTATGTGCCCTCATAATATTTAATCAAAATAACTTCCACTCCCTCTTCTCTTCACTGATGATGCGTTTACTGGCGCGAGAACCTGTCACTCACATGACATCACAGCGATAGCAAACAACAACCATACAATCAATACCTGATGGACAAAATCAAGTCCTGCCCTACCTTTTTTTCCTCATTCGAATGTCACAATAGGGAAGAAAAGTCTTCACAACTTCCATTACATGCCAACTTAAAGAACAGAAATGGTTCACTGAAATGTTCTTTGGGATCCTAAAAGGCTTAATTCACCCAAAAATTAAAATTCTGTCATTAATTACTCACCCTCACGTCATTCAGAAACCGTAAGACTTTTGTTGATCTTCAGAACACAAATGAAGATCTGTCCCTCCATTGACAGATACACAACTACCACTTTGATGATTTAAAAAGTTGATAAACCATATGAATTGAGCGGTTTAGTCCAAATTTTCAAAAGAGACTCAATCGCTTTGTATGATGAAATGATTTAATTTAGGTTTTATTCACATTTAAACATTGATCAGGGAATATAAACAGAGGCTCAGCCGAACGTGTTTTACACTCGAGAACAAACCTCATTGGTTCTCGCAGAAGCTCAAACGTGCAGTGTAACACGAGAATGAACCTCTCGCGCATAAAACAAACACACTTGAGCTTCCGTTTACCACAACTGATGTGTGATTTGATGTGAATATTTATGTGAATAAAAGCCTAAATTTAATCTGTTCATCATATAAAGTGATCAAGTCTCTTCAATAGAATTGGACTAAACTGCTCAATTCATATGGTTTAGTTGTACAATCTCTTTATGAACTTTATAAATCATCAAAGTGGTAGTTGCGTCGTATAAAGTGATCGAGTGTCAACAGAGGGACAGAAAGCTCTAAGATTTCATTAAAAAAGTTCTTCTTTTGTGTTCCAAAGATAAACGAAAGTCTTACGGGTTTGGAACGGCACAAGAGTGAGTAACCCTTTAAAAGGTTTCTTGTGAAAACCCCCATTTGGAACATATTTTTAAGAGTGTACCTAATTACTAGACATTCAGTGGTGATCTGTTTCTTACCTCTGTACAGGCATCACTCATCTGAGAAGCTGTTTCCATGCCAAGAGTCTGGAACAGCTCTGCCAGACTCTTATTTACTTCTTTCCAATTAGTTTTATCCTCTTCCACTTGACTGGTTTCCTGATGCTCGTCTTCATTTCCCATAGTAAGACTCTCCCGTTTTCTTTGCTCTTTGCCATTTGTCTCACAATTCGGATCTGCATCTTCTGGATGGCTCTCTCTGTACGTCAGCATACGGGCTGCCATCAACTCTGACACCAAATACTCTGTGAATTGAAAGATAATATGCATAGTAGCTCTTCGCAGAATATCTTAGAAATGCACAAATGAGAACATCTATCACCTCCCTACCTTACCAGTCACTCTGAACAACAGAAGTGGGCTAAGGTGCTCCGATATAAGAGATTTTTGAGGACAGGACATCTCCTTCAGCATCTCCCTCAACTCTCCGACCAGAACTGCACCACCAACTCTTCGTCCTGAAGCACAGATAGATTTTATGCATAATACCAGCAACAACAACAAAACGTAGTGCAAAATATTGTCTTATAGGCACGAAAAACATTTTAATTTTTAATCCCGGCCTAGAATTAAAACTAAATTTACATTATTCTTAAATTTCAAAGTGTAGGTCTAATCATTTAAATATGATATGTGCAAAACAAACGAACATGGATGGAAAGCTTGTAACATGGGACTTGACTGGGTTCGGTTATGTTACCTGGAGCATCGGGAAAACTTTCTCTTAGTTCTGAGACCAACCAGGTGAGCAAAGGGCAAGGCAATTCGTCACATTTGCATTTCTTCAAGCACTCTCTGCTCTTATACCTGTGCAATATAAAAATTAAACAGCTGTGATTGTTATTATCTTGACAAGAATAATACATATTTTTTTTATATCGCTGTTTATTTTAGCGCTACTCACCCAAGAGCTTTAATTAAAGCGATTGCACCAGTATCTCTCTCCATAGTGTACTTTCCATTTACTGTCTATGGTACTTCCTTGTTCAGCATTGACGACTGTTAAATTAAAACAAGGCAGTAGTAGTCTCTCTGCAGATAACCTATTTCTAGACGAAATTAATCGATCGAAATTTGAATCGATCGATCGAAACAGACAGATTCCTTTGGTTCTAAACGGCTCTAAACCATAAGTTCTAAACTTATCAACAAGATAAGAAACGTAACAAAGATTGGTATTGCTTGAGACACACGGATCTATCGTCTTGATTCTTTTTTTGCTCGCAAATAAATAAATAAACCGTACAATACAAAAACAAATACAAGTAGAGAAGTCTCTCTTTTCGTAATAAACCAAAATTGTATGTATTAAATATTAGAAATATTTAAGGTGCCATTTATTTTCACACTAATCCCAGTTTATGGTTATTGTAACTGGGACGAAACATAATGTATTTAACTCAAAGTTTTTATTTTATTTAAGCAAAAATTGATCTACATTCATTTCACCCATTCCTTTGTTCTCTGTGAATTACTAAAAGTGCTTTAAACATATATTAAAGTCCCAGAATAAAAAGGCTAAGATTTAGTCCCAGAATAAAAAGTAATTTGTTTTTTTTTATTATTTTTTTTTTATTGCAGAACTTATACAAAAATACCAACACAGGGAAGTAAGGCAAGGTGTACAAACAAACAAACAAACTAACAATAGTACCTAACAGAAAACATGGCTGCACTGCGTATGACGAATATGATTGGCTAAACGGGCCTTAGACAGACAGCCGCATTAGCCAATCAGCTTCAGGGACAGAGAGCGCTCAGACTCTCGCGAGGCGGAGGAAGTGGGCTACCACGGTCACCCTCCATTTTTGATACAATCGTAACGAGAATTTGCTGAGAGGGAAACTGACAGATAAAGGTAAATATTTGGTTTTATGCAAACATGAGGAAGTATTTATGTTCTGTTTGTGGCTTAAACTGGAATGTGGTGATTTTAGAGTATGCACGTGAGGCTGGTGGATTTTGCGCGCAAATTATTTGACTCCATAGTTCGCTAGTTACCACGAATGCTAAGTGTGCGTTAAGTCAATGGCTACGGTAAACCATTGTTTTGACACTTAAACAAGTGGATTTGGTATGTGCATGTTGTTGTTTTAAATGTAATAATCCCTAAACACTAAATAAAACTCAGTGAAATTTCATTTTACCTGCAAAGACCTTTGCCTCTGTTAGCCAGTTAGCTTGCGGGCTAATATTTTAGCGATTGTGAAGATGATCCTCTGAGCGCGTACAGTAACCAATCAATGACTCGGGTTTGTTTACTCTGATCTACAGGCGCACAATTTGGACTAAACTGCTGTAGGGGTACATGAACAATGAGCGGGCTTAATGTTAAAAAGCTCAAAGTCAATGAGCTGAAAGAAGAGCTCCAGCGACGAGGCCTGGACACTCGCGGGCTGAAGGCGGATCTGGCGGACAGATTGCAGGCGGCACTGGAGGCCGAGGCGGCTGGCGATGCTCCATCAGGCGAACAGGAGCAGGACTTTGAGGCTGGCGGGGAGCCTGGAGGGGAGAATGATGATCAGGAGGAAGGTAATACTTGTTTTTATGTTAATGTTTTGACCTGGCTATGTTCTGAAGCAGTAATCCAGGCTGTTGTTTCAAATGGAGATGTGCTTCACAGAGATTAGGAGAGATTATTATTTATAAGGGACCGCATGGCAGCGTGTAGAACCACCACAGGGTTAAGCTTTTGATGTAGGACATGCTTCTGTGAAATAAAGCAAGCCCTGGTTGATATTTTTACATTTAACGTTTAAATTTAAGGGGAGGTGTTTTCATTTGTGGAAATATGACGGGTAATGTTACAGCTAGGTCTCGAAAAATCTTGTAGTAATTAATGATTCAATTCTTCTATAAGGAACTTTTGTCATGGATGTGTAAAGTGGACTTCTCTCTCTCTCTCTGTAATACACACACCTAGTGCTGGGCAACGATTAATTGCATCCAAAATAAAAGTTTGTGTTTAAATAATATATGTGTGTGTAGTGTGTATAATTATTTTGTATATATTCATACACACTCATGCATGTATGTATAAGAAAAATGTGTTATTAATATGTCAAATATTTATACTTAATATTAATTATATATATATATATATATATATATATACATACATGCAAATATTAATATATACATGCATGTGTGTGGATTTATATATACAAAATAATTATAGACACTAGTACACACACACATATTATGTAAACACAAACTTTTATTTTGGATGCGATTAATCCCGATTAATCATTGCCCATATATATATATTGATATATTAAGATATATATTAGTAATTACACTGTAATAAGGACATCTTAAACCTTCCTTTTTGTGAATACATTCTCTTAAAATAATTTAATAATACTTGAATTCCTTTAGTAACTCTGAGTTAATACAAAAGTGATGGTAATTAGTTGTTGAAGACATTAATGCATTAACGAAAAAAATCTACAAATCTATTTCCTTGCCTGGAAAATGGGGGTTTCGTTTCACAAATAATATAAAAAAAAATTTGGATTTGTGCCAAGGTAGGCTTTGTCAGACCAACACCATCTCTGTTTCATTTTCGCTTTAAATTTATTTGCTTTGGCTCTGCGTTTATGTAGCTACTTATATTTTTCATTCTTGTTCTGTTCTGAATAACATTCAATGTAAGGATTTTATTTAAAAAATGTAAGATTTGTTGTGGAGGGAGGAGAATTAAAACCGCCTATAAGCTATGAGTTTATAATGTTTGAACACTTTTTGATTTATTTACCAGTATTTGACATAATAATAATATGCAGTTAACTAGGTTTTTTTTTCTGTAAAAATTTCAATTTTATGTGTGGGGTTGTTTTTTTTATGCAACAAACAATTTAAAAATATTGTAAAAATTGACTTAAATTACTTTTCAATTAATTTAACCGTTAAGTATTAGGCATTCAGAATTCTGTAGATTAACCAGTTAATTATGAGCATCCCTAACATATATTCTGGTTAATATGAGCGCTTTTTTCTCTTTGTGAATACGTTCTGTTTTTAAATAAATCCATAAATAATCGTAATAATCACTTGAAGTCATGTAAATTAGTTTAAAAGCATTAATGCGACAACATTTTATAATTCTGCTTAATTTCTGCACAAAAATTGCAGCCAGTGAGAAAGATTTTGGAGAAGAATCTAAGGCACAATTTGATGATGGCAACAGCACAGACCTCTACCAGGGTGGATTTGACGATCAGGGAAATGAGAGTAATGAAGGCAACGAGGACAGCCCCGGGACCCCCATACTTGCTTTGGGAACGAGTGATTATTCATCAGATGCGATGCCGGAACAAATGACAGAGCAGGATGAGTACCAGGAGCCTGAGGCCAAGAAGCCGCGCCGTGAGGAAGCAGCCGGGAAGCAGCATAAGCAGCCGGAGGAGATGAAGCAGGAGAATGAGGAGACTCCTCCTGCAGAGCCAGAGGTGACGCAGAAGTGTGACAAGCCAGCATCACGCCAGATCCCAGAGGGAGACTCAAGTCAACGCAGCCAGCAGGAAGTGTCAGGTTAGTCTTGTCAAATTTAGAAACCCCAATGGGGTGAAATCTCTAATAAAAGAGTTTTTTTTTTTTAGCACATTATTAAATAAATACTTTGCACAAAAATGAAAATGTCCTGATTATTTACTCACCCCCAGGCCATCCAAGATGTAAAGAAATTAAGGTTTTTGAGGAAAACAATCCACAAATTTCTCCATTTAATGCAAGTTTTTAACAGTCTAAAATGAATTTTAAGCAGATTTAATTAAGTTACGTTGGCACATCAGTAAGGTCACGGTTGATGTTGGCTGGGGTCGTGTGGTTGGAGAAAAATCCTGAAATGTTTTGCTCAAAACCCTTAATTTCTCCTCTGCTGAAGAAAGTCTGTCATATATGTTTTTGTATGGCCTTGAGGTGAGTAAGAGTAAATAATCAGGAAATGTAAATTTTTTTGGGTGGACTATTCCTTTAACTCTGTGGTTCCCAACCACATTTCTGAAGGACCCTCAACACTGCACATTTTGCATGTTTCCTCAAACAAACACACCTGTTTCAATTCATCAGCTCGTTAGTAGTGACTCAAAGATCTACTACTTTAACTTTCCACACACAGTCCCACTTGATCATGATTATATGTGCTAGTTTAATTCGTTAAGTCATTGCCATTCGTGCCACCTTCCTGTGCAAATGAGGTTCATTGTACATGCACATAATTCTTAAAAGTCAGAAGTTAACATTAAATGTGATCTTGCTTTATTTGAGGAGGCTTATGATATATTAATTTATCCCAATCTTTTAGAGAGTTTGGAAGTGAAGACCGAGGATAAGGCCGACGAGGACGTACCACAGCAGGCTGGTGAGTGGGATGCACAGCCTAAATCAGAGGATGATAGATACTCGTCATACAGTCGCAAGAGGTCATATGATGATAGTCGAGGATACGGTTACTATGAGCATCGCGAGGAAAGGAGGTAAGTTACGCCTCCTTGGATTTATTTCGATATTTTGTATTGCTCATTCTCAGAGTTCTCTTTGGTTGTTAAAGGGGGCGATCACCACAGCCACCAGCTGAAGAAGAGGAGGAAGACATTGATGATAAACTTGTGGTTATTGACACCTGTGAGTATAATTAAGGAGAGATTTTTTTCTGTGACCGAGCTGTTCGTATTTGCAGTGCTGTTTTTCATTAGGAATACCCAATACTGAGCTCATTTATTCATTCTCATTAAAATTCTCCACGCAGCGTCTGCACAGTGCTTGTGTCCACACAAGGAAATATAAACAGCAGAATGGAGATATTCGAGATTAAATCTGCGTCTATGACATAAATGTATCTTATTAATGCAATATTAAACATAAATTCAGTATTTGCGTTTGTATAGCTGCGGCATTTAAACTAAAACTCAATAGTATATAAGTGAAAACATATACTTCTATAACCATAGGTTCCATATTTTATTACAGGTAAAGGTCATGTGATTGCTTTACTGCTGCACTGAAGCAGCTCGAAATGTGCGCTCTGGTATTTAATGAAAGAATTATAAAAGGAACGGCTTCTCGTAGGCTTTTACAATACATTTAGCATGAAAATTGCTATAGGAAATATTGTTTACACTTTATTTTAACCCTTAAAGACCTAGACCATTTTTGGAGCACCTGCACCGCTTGTTCTTTTCTTTGTTTTTCTAACCCATTATAGCAGTCAGCATCAAGTGCCATATATCATTTTTAACAGGAGAACTTGAAGTTTCAATCTATCTCATTTAAATAATCCAATTTTACGTTTAATTTGTCTTAGAATGGATGAATTTACCAGATTTAAGAAAAACGGCTGCATATTTGTAGTGATTTTTTTTTTTTTTTTTTTACTCAACTCAAACAAATCCTCCTGAAGTTTGGATTTTTTCCTTTAGAAAGCTGTACTTGGATATTTTACATTTCCAGATGTAATTTTGACTACATGTAACAATCCCTAAGCAAGTTATGGGTATTTATTACAACATTATTATAGGTGATTTTTAGTGAAAAGCATTGTTTCAGTGAAAACAGTGTTTTTCAGACTGACAATTTATGTGTCCAAAAAGTTAAGGAAGTAACATAAATAGAAACATTGTAGTAGAACAATGAAGCAAAAAAAAAAACGTTATATATATAAACACACACACACATAGCCTATATGAACTACTTTGACTTTACCTCTGTTCAAATTTTCAAAGAAAGATTCTAATTGGTCATGCGAAAGACCAAGAACTATATTTATTGGTTGAGTAGATGATAGTTTTAACCAATCTGGGGATGGGGTGGGACTAAGCATTAACAGTCAGATTGGCTCAGAGGAAAAAACCGCACAGGTTTCTTTGACGAATCAATGCTGATCAAAACTTGATGACGCAATCACATTCACTACGGAGCTTCTGAATGTCCAAACGCGATTAACCCAATATCACAGAAAAGCCGCGAATCTCCTCTTTATGGGACTTTTTAAAACTTTTTAAAGCGGTTCAAAAGTTATTTAACATTTAAGAACAACAGTCATTTTTAGCTGCCGGCGGCCGTATAGGTCTTAAGGATTAAGGTGTCCTTGTTCCAGTGTAATTATACATTTAAGAACTGAGTAATATTGAATGAGGATATGTAGTTAGTAATGGGTTAAGGTTACAATTAGGGTTTGGTTCATGTGTTTTTGCCAACTAATAGGATTCAAATTCTTTTGGTTTCTCTACCTAACATTTAAAAAAAAAAATACAAATGTAATAAAAAATACATGTACCAGTATCATCAACTGCCAAAAATGAAAGTATCGATATCATACTCGTTCTGGAGAACAAGTGGTATCGGAACATCCCTAGTTTCCGTTGTTCCTGGACACAAAAATTATTTTAAATGTGGTTGATGGTTCAGCGTTTCGTTTACATGAAAGAATAGTACATTACAGAATGTCTTCTGGTTTGTTTGTCTCTAGATAACTGTGACCTGCATTTCAAAGTGGCTCGTGACAGATACAGTGGTTACCCACTGACCATTGAGGGTTTTGCCTTCCTGTGGTCAGGTGCTCGAGCCACTTACGGTGTTACCAAAGGACGTGTGTGTTTTGAAATGAAGGTAACAATGGTGCTGTTTAAGACGAGTGTTGTAAACCAATGCTATGTTTGATTGCCTTAGATATCTGTAGAAATAATGACCTCTCCTGTCCTTTACTTTGTTTAGATAAATGAGGAAATTTCAGTAAAGCACCTTCCCAGCTCTGAGCCTGACCCTCATGTGGTGAGAATCGGATGGTCCCTGGATACATGCAACACTCAGCTCGGTAAATGACTATACTTCAAGGCATTTCTGACACCTAATGCCTTTTTCTTTAGTGAAATGAATCAAACAGTGGTAGATTTTCCTGCAACATTGTAGTTGAACTAATATAACTTCTGTATTTATAATATTATAGGTGAAGAACCCTTCTCTTTTGGCTATGGAGGAACTGGCAAGAAATCCTCCAACTGTAAATTTGAAGACTATGGGGAAAAGTTCAGTGAAAATGATATCATTGGCTGCTATATTGTAATTGTTTTTCTCATTTTTTTTATATTACATTAAACAATGCATCTTAATAAGGTCTCAGATATTGTATTATTAACCTTATTTCTTTTATTTTTCCCTCTGGGATTGCCTTTCATAGGACTTTGAAAGCGGTGAGGCAGTAGAGATGTCATTCTCCAAGAATGGCAAGCCTCTGGGCCCGTGTTTCAGTGTCACTCGAGAGGAACTGGCCGGACGTGCTCTTTTCCCACATGTATTGGTGAAGAACTGTGCCATAGAATTCAACTTTGGACAGAGAGAGGAGCCCTTCTTCCCCAAGCCTGAAGGCTTCACCTTCATTCAGGATCTTGACCTGGACGACCGAGTCAGAGGGACACTGGGACCTGCCAATAAAACTGAATGCGAGGTTTGAATTGACAGTTAACATTTGAGATAAATATTCATTACCTGTAGCAATCTCATCGAAGATTTTATAATATTTATACGACTATAAATTCATAAGCATTTGCTGGAACATTATCTGATATTTTTCAAAATGTCTACCTGTATTGTTGAAAGACTGCACTGTTAATTCTTGGTTCAAAACCTCATCTACAGTATATCACCAGCTATATAATGATACCATTATTACACATAGCTTATTACATAAATTTCAAGGCGTACAAGCAGTGTTGTAGTCGAGACCACCTCACTCGAGTCCGAGTCGACACCGAGACCAGAGAGAGTCGAGTCCGAGTTAAGACCGAGTCCATAGAGAGTCGAGTCCGAGTCGAGTCCGAGACCAGAGACGGTCGAGTCCGAGTCGAGACCGAGACCAGTGAGGGTTTTTTTTTTTTTTTACTGAATTTACTTAGAGTTTAAAAATATGATCAGTTTAGGGTAAAAAGGCCACATAGTAGGTGGTGTTAAAAGTAATTTTATTACAATTTGTCATGCGCAGTTGCGCACTAGAAAATCACCAATCACTGGGCGTGTCAATCAATTTAAAGAAATATTTTATTAACATACATTAATAATCATGAAAAATATTTTTAATTGAACTCGAGTGGACTCGTGAATAAGTCCGAGTCCTAAAAAAAAAATGTTCGAGTCCGAGTCAATTCCGAGTCCAAATGGACACGAGTCCATGACAAGACCAAGACCATTAAAATATGGTCTCGAGACCGAGTGCGAGACGAGTCAGAGTCTCGAGTACTACAACACTGCGTACAAGCAAGGCGTAATGTTTGTAAAAATGTTGCCTCAACATTTTCTTCTTAGATCCTGATGATGGTTGGTCTGCCTGGTGCTGGAAAAACCACCTGGGCCATAAAATATGCAGGAGAGAACCCAGACAAGAAGTACAACATCCTGGGCACAAATGCTATCATGGATAAGATGAAGGTATGTCTGCTGGAAATAAACCCTGTTAATATAGCAACTGTGCATTGTTAAGCCATGCTGCTTCTCAGACAGAAATCTTTGCCTGTGGATCGTGTGTTTAAAAACTAAGGATGGGCATTAACTCGAGGTCCATTGTGGACCGTGTTTAGCTTCAATGTAATCAAACACATCTGCTTGTAAATTTCTAGTAATCCACAATGCCTTAACTAGATGTTTTTATCAAGGTAGGAGCTAAACTCTGAGGGCTAGAGTTGCCCAACCTTGGTTAAAGGGTTAGTTCACCCAAAAATGTTGTCAGTATTTACTCACCCTCATGTTGTTCCAACCCCGTAAGTTCATCTTCGGAACGCATATTAAGATATTTTTTGATGAAATCTGAGAGCTGGATCACTCCTCCATACTAGTCCATAGGCTTCTTGAGGAATTGAACCTTGTTGGCCTTAAAAAGTTATTAAAGACATCGTTAAAATAGTCTACAGTGGCTCAATCTTAACTTTATCAAACGACGAGAACACTTTTTGTGTGCAAAAATAACGACTTTATTTCAACTATTCACTTCCTTCTCTATGGCCTCTAGTCAGTTAATGTAGTGTGATAGCGTAGAGCTACGTCACACGTAGGCTCACTATTGCGTGTGACGTACAATAACAGAAGCTTACACTATTAAACTAGTAACCTGACTCGAGGCAGAGAGAGAAGTAAATGAATAGTTGAAATAAAGTCGTTGTTTTTTTGCGCACAAAAAGTGTTCTCGTCGTTTGATAAACTTAAGATTGAGCCACTGTAGTCACTATCTTAACGACTAGTATGGAGGAGTGATCCGGCTCTCAGATTTCATCAAAAATATCTTAATTTGTTTTCCGAAGATGAACAAAGGTCTTACGGGGTTGGAACAACATGAGGGAGAGTAAATACCGACAGAATTTTAATTTTTGGGTGAACTATCCCTTTTAAGACCAAAAACTCAACTAGTTGTTCAGGCCATCCACCAAAATATGTAGTTCCTCCAATTCCTGAAGTCTATTGTGTCGTTCACGTCAGGTCATGGGACTCCGTCGGCAGCGCAACTATGCCGGACGCTGGGACGTACTTATTCAGCAGGCCACGCAGTGTCTCAACAGGCTCATCCAGATTGCCGCCCGCAAGAAGCGCAACTACATCCTGGACCAGGTACTGCCATACTTGCCTGCCTCTGCTGTTCTCACGGCTAAAGCTCTTCCTGTCCTTCTCAACCCTCCTCCCCAAAAACAACCCCACATCCACTGCTGCTCACTGATGCACATGTTCATTAATGCACTTTTGATCTCTCTGTAGCTTAGTTGGTTAGCCTATTGTGCTCCTAAAGACTTGTTTTTTTCCAGTCCTTATTTCTTTGTCCTGAACATGTTGCTGAATTATGATTTGTTTTGTTTGGCTTTACACGTTAAAAACGAGCAGTGAAAGAATGCAGTATAGTATGTTGTCACAATGAATATTTTTGACTTTATGTATTGCCTTGTTGTAAAGAGATTTACTTATTTTTTTGCCACACTGTACAAGTAGTCCATGACATTAGTAAGATGTTGAAAAACAAGTAATCACTGCCTGGTGAGTAAGAAAACACCTTCTGTTGCTATGGTAACCGTAAAGAAAAGCAGAACTTTTCATTAGATAAACTTGGAACTTTACTTGAATGTTGTTTTTAAAAATGAATGGCAGGTAAGTGGAAAAACTAACCAGCTTGAAGTTTACAGGTAGACAGTTCCAGAGGTTGTACGGTAGGTAAGGTCAAAGGACATGCTAATGGGTCCTTTAGGAGTCTGTGAGTATGCACAGGTTGGTACTAAATGTTTGTCCGTGTCGGGCATTCTGGTCTTTTCAACCGGTGCGTAAAGGTAAGTGAGGGGACCCAGGCAGTGCATGTGTTTGAAATACAGAAGTGAGGGTTATTTGCATTCCTCCGAAATGTAAGATGATTCCCGTGTAGTACCAGCAGATCCGAATCTCTGTCGTTGATGTTTAGAAATGATTGACGTAATTACATTAAGAGCATGCCTGTGTTTTGTTAGTTTAAGAGTGAACTGCAGTCTTAAGCTGTCAAATAAGACTTTAATTTCATGTAAATTCATGTAACTTGGATCTTTTATTGTATACTAAGAATCTGACAAACCAGTTGTTTGTAACGAGCTTCTCATAAGAGAACGGCTTCTGTTAAAAGCGCTAGCGTGAGGGAAGCAGAAAGGGTCCCCTATACACACCGTCAGTCATTCATAAACTCTCATGTGTCGGCTCAGTTCACGGTAAGTCAGAGATTGGGGTTGTGAGAGACAACCGCTAGTCATTCCAGAGCAGTAACTATAGACATGAAAAAAAACTCTCTCACTTTCATCGTTGCAGGAATCCAATTCCCCTCCTATGGAACGCAAAGCCGTAACAAAAGCAAATAATGAACAGCTTCTACTTCTTTCTTGTCACCATTGCTAGACAAATGTATATGGATCAGCCCAGAGACGAAAAATGCGTCCTTTTGAAGGTTTTCAACGCAAGGCTATTGTAATTTGTCCCACGGATGAGGATTTAAAAGAGCGAACGTTAAAGCGAACTGATGAGGAAGGGAAGGATGTTCCCGATCATGCTGTGTTAGAAATGAAAGGTAGGAATGCCATGGATAACCAAAACAAATGTTCAAAACTACACACCAGATCTGCTTTTGCTGTTTGTTTGTTTGTTTTTTTTGTTTCTTTTTTGTTTCTTTTTTTTTTTTAAGAATTGGAAGAACCCACCCGTCCCTCTTTCTGTTGAACCTTTTTGCCAGATAAAAGAGCTCCTCTCACCTTTTTTTTTCATCTCTTCCTGCCCTGTTAACCACATTTTATTGCATTGTCTCTCATGCCATTCGTCACCACTGCAAACCGGCTCAGATAATCAGGATTGTGGAACAGAATTGCTGCAATTGGCTCAGGCTCTCCAATTCACTTCAGCAACTGAGCAGTTTGTATTGGCAGTACTATTAAATGTTAAATAAATGATTGGACAGATGCCCTTGGCTAGTTCCTACTGATTTTGCGTGGACACCTTTTATCATAACACTCTTTTTCTGGCAACTGTTTTTAGTTTAATTTCATTCCCTATGGCCCCCTACATTGTCCTCATAGTCCTACTCTCGGACAAGGGTTTTCTTACACGGCTAAGGCAACGTTTGTCCTAGAGCATGTTACCTTTATCACCACATGATCAAGTTCTCTCTCTTTTACTCTCTTTGTCTCCTTGTTCTGTCCCCTCCCCTGTATTTTTGCTGTCACCATTGTATGGTGCTGATTATGATTCTCTTTGTCTTTTGCCTGCATGGCTTTTCTGTCCCTCATTGCATGCCTCTGCTCCCGCAGCAAACTTTGTTCTGCCTGACGCCGGCGAGTTCCTGGACGAGGTGCGCTTCATAGAGCTTCAGCGGGAAGAAGCCGACGCCCTCATCAAGCAGTACAACGAAGAAGGCCGTAAAGCGGGCCCTCCCCCGGAGAAGCGCTTTGATAACCGCCAGGGTGGTTTCCGCGGCCGTAGCAACTTCCAGCGCTATGACAACCGTAGTGGAGCTCAGGGTGGTAGAGGAAGCGGCTACCAGAACCGAGGCGGCTCTGGAGGTGGAGGCTTCCGAGGAGGTAAGAGTGTCGAATTTGTTAGTTCTGTGTGTTGCAAGTTGAGGGTTAGTAAATGAAAGAAAATAATGTTTTTACTCATCAAGAACCCATATTGACGAAAGGTATAATGTTGGAAACAATCAAATAAACGCTTTTTAAATAGAAAAACAAATGTTCTTTTAATAGAAACAATCCTGAGCAACCTAAATTTACTTCACTATATTACTATTAAATCCTAATCTAGTCATGACAAACTATATATTGTTGGAAAGGTCTAAGAATGCTAAATAGATGTTTGACTGCTGTTTTTTGCTACAAATTATGTAAGAAGAGCAATGATGATGATTTTTTTTGTCAAGAGTGCGTTTAAAAAAAATCTGCACTTTTTTATCGCCTTTTTTATTATATCACATTTTTTAGTAGTTATCATATTTTAGGTATCATTTGAAAGCTTACAAATTCAGAATTCATTCGTTGTAAACCGTTTTATAATTGAATGTTGCGTTACCATAGAAACGGTACTCTAAATTATTTTATCAGGCCCCTCCTTTTGGGCATCATCAATTTATGACCAAAACCTTTTCTAATCTTGACAAAATGCATATTGTCAAAGGTCTGAGTCTCAAGGTTCCAAATTTTGTGACAGAATTGATATTTGGACAAAAATGTATTCATTTGTTGAGGCAGAATGTATACAACTAAATTCAATGGAATACAATGGCACCCGTGGCTATTTTGGTACTACGCCTAAACAAAATCTCATGGGAACTTCCATTTTTGTGATATCAACTTCAAATTTGGAACATAATTTGGTTAGATTTATGGCTTTGATTTTATAGTAATTTAAGAGTAAAAAATATTTTGTAAAATATATTTTTTTTATATAAAATTAAAAATATATAGTACAGTATAGTTGATTTACTGTTAACTTTTTTAGACTTTATTTTTTTTAGTGTTTTCACTTTGGCAATAATCAGCTGAGTGTTTTCTTTAAAACAAGACCAAACTTGGGTATATATTCCAAAGCATTCTTGAATTACTATTGAAAACTGTGATTGTGAAATATTATTAAATAAAATGTTAATGCTTTTAACTTGTTTGATCAAATAAACAAAGACTTTGTGAACAAAAGAATCTTCTTTCAAAAACATTATATATTACTGATCCCAAAGTTTAGTGCGGTCTTGTTTATACATTTATTACAGCTAATACACTGGAATACTTGATTCTGATTGGTCAGCCTCGGCATTCAGAGGCGTGATATTTCCAAATATTTATTTGCCATCATCAATGGCAACGGTGTATCAGTACTCCCATCTAATTTACTGAAACTGGTGCTACTCATGTCCCTCAAATCACACTATAAACTTGCTTTCTTTTTTCATACAATGCAACTGCTGCCATTTTAGCTCTCTGTGATGATTGGCGGATTGTACTTAAAACAATTTAAGAGGACTTTAAAATTTTGTTTTTTAGCGAAAGTCAGGCAAAATCATAAAGTAATTTCCGAATCAATAGTTCTTGCCCACATATTTGACCAGCCGTGTAGAAAAACAGGATAATGAGCGTTCAGCGCGACATTCTCGTAAAGAAACCCCGTCAAGCTGATCCTGATCATATCCTGGTCTGGGTGTATTTTGCGTTTAATGACCAGCCTACTATACAGTTATACCTTACTTATTCTTCTGCATTGCTGGTTAGATACTGCCTACAAGAACTGATTGTTGATAATCTCTCAACTTATTAATTAGGATACAACCGTGGAGGCTACAGTCAGAATCGCTGGGGATCTAACTACAGGGATGGAGGCTCAGGAGGCCGTGGTGGTGGTGGTAGTGGTGGTGGAGGATACAATCGCAACCAGCAGTCTGGAAGCAGTTACAACCACAACCGTCAGAGCTCCTACAACAAGACTCCTTCCGGAGGAAGTGGAGGCTACAGCCAATCACAGGTACTAGGACAGGGCTCGCATTACCCAAGATTCATTTTAGGAATCCAGCAGGATTTGTAGCATGTTATTTTCTCTCTTTTCTGTAGCCTCAGTCTTATAGTCAAAGCTACAGCCAGCCCTACAACCAGAGCAACTATAGCCAAGGGTACAACTACGGCAACTACAGTCAGTACCCAGGATACAGTCAGAGCTACAGTCAAACTCCAGCGCCCACACAACCAACCTACAACCAGCAGCAGCAGCAGCAGCAGCAGCAGAGCTACAATCAGCAGTACCAGCAGGTGAGACCGTCAGTGATGCGTCATACAGGCACTTTTACATTAAATTTCCAGGGGCATTTTTACCTCTCTATGGACACTTTTTTATGATTACTTTATTAAATGCATCTATGTTGTCTTTTATGTAAAATACTGTAATTAATGAATTACTTGAATCAGAATACTAAAACAAAATTTTATCAACATCAACAGAAGCCATCTTTACTCAGCAAAGATGGGACAGAAGCCGCAACTGATACGGCATGTTTATTTACACAGACTGTTTAATACTGTTCATGTATTTACACTACAATTGCCTAAATTAAATAAATAGTCTATATAAATGATAAAATGTATTACATAAATTAATATAGTCAGTTCTAATTGATATTGCTCTTGATATATTGTTGATTAACTGAATAGATGATGTTTTTGCATTTGGGTAAACAGCACGTCATATTCTTGTAGGCTACTCTACAAAATCTCAGAACCACTTATTAATTAGTTTTGTAGAAATTAGAAAATCAAGACTTAATATTGGTTGTTTTAGTAGCTTGAAGCACTAAACTCTTAATCAAATGGAATAGATTAAAAACAACAAGCAAGCGAGCAACATAAATTCCCTGTCACTGAAGTGGTCCATGACTTCAGCCTAGAGCAAGTTTAAACTCTTATTACTGTAAGTGAAGTTGTCACTCTTCAAAGTGAACCCCTTACTTGCAGAATTCAGTTCGTTGAGTGCACACACTGATTAAAACGGCCTTTTCAGCGGTTACTCATCTAAATGCCTCTGATTGACAATCGCATTCATAGCTCAATAGAAATGTTTGTAATTGGTTCTAATGCTCAATAGGGCTGGTCCGAAAACCAGTTTTTGAGCTTCAAAGCTTCGGTAGTAATGAACATCGAATATTCAAAGCTTCGAAATCTCTATATATTTGTCTGTCCGTTTGCATTTTGATTATTTCAAGAACCGTTCATCCAAACGACTTCACAAGGAAGGGCAGTGTTGTATTAGGTGCAATATAGATAGACCGGTGAGACGCGACATGTTCAGAATTAATAAACTTTTAATGAACTACAGAACAGCGAGAGTGGGAAGCGGTGTGAAAAAACACACACACAGGTCTGTTAAAAAGCATCGCGCGCGCCTCACGCGAGCAGGGATTATATGCTCCGAGAACGGACACTGCACTAGTGATATAAAAAACACACACAGGTCTGTTAACTTAAACAAAATTTTAATAAGGTAGTCTAATATTTTTCTCACTAAAAAAAACTGACAATGTCCGGTAGATTTAAATAAAGCAGCGCCTCAGCGAGCAGGGATTATATGCTCCGAGAATGGACACTGCACTAGTGATATAAAACACACACACACACACAAACAAGTCTTTTAACTTAAGCAATATTTTTACTAAGGTATAGTCTTCTCACTGACAAAGTAGGGTAGATTTAAATTAATAAATAAAAACGTAGCCTAATTTAAATAAATAAAAATGAAATTTAAATAAATAAAAACTAAATTTTAATAAATAAAAACTAAATTTAAATAAAAACGAGACTTAAATAAATAAAACAGCAACTAAATTTAAATAAATAAGCTAAATTTACATAAATAAAAAACTAAACTTAAATAAAACATTAAACGAAATTTAAATAAATGAAACATAAAAACAAAATTTAAATGAATAAAAATGAAATTTAAATTAATAAAAATATCAATAATAAAAAAACGAATAACTTAAATATAGACAAACGAAATTTAAATAAAGAAAAACGAAATTGTGACGTGACATCCCAGTAAAATTTCAAAGTCACGCTGTAGATTAATTTAGATTGATAATATCGGGTAAAAAGCATAATACATTTTGTTTCTATTATTCTATTTTCCACAAAGCAACGCCGCTAAACCCAAAATACAAGCGCAGACATGCACTTCTGTCCACACACACTCTGCTGTTCTGCGCTCTAGCCAGAGAATACTCCCGTTGCAGGAACATTTTTAGTAGTCTAAGAATAAGTAAATATATTTATCAAATAGCTATAACGAAGTTATATGTTAAATATTATATTTTACCAGATTTTATAGTGAAAAACTTATTCAAGCGTGAATGAGAACCGTTTCAAGTGGGATGCCAGGTGTGCCAAAACCCCCCCAAAAAACGAATATTCGAATGTCATATTTTGAAATCGAATACCAACCCACCGAACGAATAATTTGAATATTCGGGTCCAGCCCTAATGCTCAATGCTGCAGAAACATGTCAAAAGAAATTTGATGCGACATGAGCAGATCTAAATGTAACACCACAGTTGACACTTCATTCATTTTCACATTTCTCTTTAATCTCAACAGCCTTAAAAAATGTAGTATATTTTTGCTAGGGCATTTTTGTTCATTTCAGTGCAGTTTTTGCCATGACGTCCCTGTTAATTTCTGAAAGGCATTGTTTAGCATTGTGTTGTTGATGCATTTATTTTGATACGTTGTATTACTTCCCACAGTACGCTCAGCAGTGGCAGCAGTACTACCAGAACCAGAGCCAGTGGAACCAGTACTATAACCAATACGGCAATTACGGCAACTACCAGCAGGGCGCCCAAGGCAGCCAGGGTGCTCAGGGAACACAGTAGTAGCATCGCTGCCGCTTCAGACGGCCCATTCCCTAAGCAGCATTCCTCATGCCTTTTTTGTGATCCTTCCCAGTCTTATCCCCCTTTTTTTTTCCCTGCTCTCTGTAAAAGTTTATTCTCTCCCTATTTATGCCAACCTTAAAGGTAGCCACATTTCTGTGGCCCTCCATTGCTCTTTTTGAGTTTTGGTAGCAAGTATCCCTTTTTAGATCTTCTATCTACTTAATATTTGTTTACATGCTTGATCTTTTTTTTTTTTTTTTTCTGTGTACTTGTAGACGAGAGGTTTGACTTTTGAATTTAGTAATGTGTGGTTTAGTCTGCTCCAATAAGCTCACACACAATGATGTGATTGAATGTTTCAAAATAGAGCAAGAGAAATTTATCGAGGAAGCTCTGCACGCTTAGATTTACATCTGATGTATAGAAAGAGAGAGAGAGAGGCAGGGTGTTTCTGTGTTCCAATAGTTTTACCACTGATTTTATTTTATTTTTTATCTTGTAAGTTTAAAGAACCACATTTTTGCAGTAGATGGGTATTGTTCTGTATATGATCATATGCCTGTATGTACACATTGATGTAAGACCATGTAACACTTTTGTCTAGGTACATCATATTGGAAATTTTAATAACCTAAATCTTGAATAACAATTTTCTGATGTCTCAAACCTGTGAAGGTTATCATTTTCCTTTTTATATAGCATTTTTAAAATGACTGATTGGTCTGATGCACATCTATTCCCATGTTGCAAATTAGTTATGATCCAAAATAGTTCCTTGTGTGGATATGTTTTTACCTTGTCTCGTCTGTAAAGCAGTATCTGCATATGGTTTTGTGTCAAATCAAAATGCATTATTTTGTATTTGAGAATATAATCAGAAGAACCAGCCTGTGTTTTGTGTTTTTGTATAAATTAGGAATGTGTGAAAGCTGAAAAAAACTAAATTTGTCTGAAACCCAGCTTCAAATGTGTAATGATAAAGTTTAACAAAAAATTAAAGGATTAAAGGGGTGGTAAAATGCCCTTTTCACAAGATGTGTCATTAGTGTGTCATGACTCAAAATACCCCACAGATAATTTTATATAGCATGTTAAAATCAATAGAAACAAAACATACAATAAATTAATACAAATAAACAGAAATAAACAACAAGGGGAGAAAATTAATTTAAAAAATGTATCTCTAGGAAATCAGAAGGTAATAGGAAACCATTATTTTTTCTAGCTACAGACCAGTTTTAGTGGCTTTCTTGTTAACTGATAAACTAAGAGTCATAGAATAACTTTAAATGAACACAAAACAGCCTGAAATTGGGCTTACAATCCGTGACTTTACATTTACAGAGATGAAACTTAACATAAGGTTAGCCGTATTAATCTGTCATCCATCTCCTTTGATCCGGAGTCCCAAATTAAAAAAACTGCACATTCATTATCTCAAAAAAGTAAAAAGTTTGTAATAAGCAGAGAAAATAAGCCATGCTACTAATTTCCAGAACTCCTTGGCATAATCACATAAAAAAAAAAAATGAGGTATTGTTTCAAGATTAGAGTTACAGAATGAGCACTGTGAAGCGATGTCTAACTTAAACTTAGAAAGAGAGTTACAGGAATAGTAATTAGAATTTTAAAGTGAATTAAGCTCTTTCCACTTGTTAGGCAACAGAAACGTATGAATGCCGGTCCATATATTAGTAGAGAAGGATTATTTCATTTCCATTTGAAAAAATGCTTTGGGATGACAGCTGATGGTTTTCCATAGCAGAAATCCAACGTGCCTGTCACAGACGTTGCAACTTGCCACAATGTTATGTTATACATATATGTAATGTTATGTGTTGCCATAATATGGAGCTAGGATTGTGTCTTTATTACATGCGAGAAAATAAATGATCTGAGAGAAAGAAAGAAAAATGTTTGAGAGAAATAGTTTTCTTACCAATGACAAAATATAATAATATTTGAGGCTAAAAAAGTTTTGAGAGAAAGTGTTTTCTCATAGAACATAAAAAATATATAAATTAGACATTTTTTAAACTATTTCTGAGAAGAAAAAAAATCTCAAATACATATTTTTTGCTATCAGTGTGAAAACTTTTTCTCTAAAAAAAGTGTTTCTCTCAAAACGGTTTTCTTTGCTCTTGATGCAATTTCTTAGCCTGGCTGCGCCCTCCTACGCACTTCCGCTCAATTTCATTTTACTTCAGTCTATGTACAAATGAAATGACCTGCGTGAAGTTGGCCCCCCACCCAACGCAAAACGTCGTCAAAAACGGAGCACAAACGATTGAGCATATTTTGACGACGTTTTGCGTTGGGTGGGGGGCCAACTTCACGCAGGTAATGAAATGTACTAGAGTCTGGTTGAACCAGGCTAGCAATTTCTTGCTCTCGAGTCAGGATTTTGCTTTCACTGTGAAAATTGTGTCATGGGCGGGGCCATTGTGGGGTAAACATCGTTTTGTCTTCCTGAAGAGTCGACCTGAATCATTCCACCATTATTCGGTTCACTAGATATATTCGAGATTTTTTTTCAAAGATTTTCTCAGAAATAATTTTGAATATGTAATTTTGAATTTACAAATTTAAATGTATTTTCTTTGTTCTGTGAGAAAACACTTTCTCTCAAAACTTTTTTAGTCTCAAATATTATTTTTTGCTATTGGTGTGAAAAATATTTCTCAAATATTTTTTTTTTCTCTCATGAAATGCTTTTTTGCTATCAGCGTGATAACTTTCTCTCAAACATTTTTTTCTCTCAGATCATTTTCTCGCATGTAATAAAGACACAATCCTAGCTTTATAAGTGCCATAGTAGTTCAGGGTCAAACAAAAACTATTGTATTGACTCATTGTAACAAAGTTATATTGTAGGCTGTCAACAAAAAGGCAGCGCTGTGCGCCTCGCGTTTTCAATCTATGTTTCAAACCTGTAAAACGCATTCTGTGTGATCCATAGACAGGGTGTGATCAGTCTAGGGTTGCACTTGCACAGACAACATTTGGTGAATACAATTCAGAGTCATTGTTATTTTATTTGACGCCCAAGAAACGAAAAATCTGGTTATGGTTCAGTGATTAGTTATGAAATCTTACTGGCTACATAAATTCAATGTTATTTAATCCTCCTTATGAAAGTTTATCTGCTCGAATTATTTATGTTAATTAAACACTAGTTTAAAACAAGACGTTTGTACTGATTATTGTTCTCAACTCCTCCCTACCACATTCTCTGCTACCAGTTCCTATCTACGTGTAACCATCATCTATGCGTGTAACGTCACAGTTTTAACCTCACCGGTGTTCTGACACCGCCCTAAGCGGAACAAGCTTAATTTGATAACACTCCACCAGAACTTCCTGCTCTGCACCATTTGTATTTTCATTTACGATTAATGAACATGGGCACAAAATGAGGTGGGTTTGTTTGTTGTATTAATGTTGAAATAAACTTTTTAAGAATGCCTAACGTTACATAATGGAAACAACAGACACAGAGCTGCGTCTTTGAAAATGAATTGTGTTGTTGTTGTTGTTGTTGTTGTTTTTGACGAGCTTATGGCTCGTCACAGGCTTTTTACTTTAGATTTTGAATCAATGTGGATTTATTTAAGGAATTGAATGGCAACATTATGTCAGAAAAACATTTCAATGTTGTGTGTGTTTAAATGTGATGTCTTTAGTTTATGTGTGCGTTCATGTAAATATATCTGAAATCGACTCCTCCAGCAGTGACAGTTTCGTACGCTCTTATCTAAGTACTGGGTACATGGGTTAGGTTTAAGGGTAGTTTCAGGTTTAGTACTTATTACACAGTTATTGTAAGTACATAGCCTAGTAGAACATAACTGTAAAATAAAGTTCTATTAAAATTTCGGTAACACTTTATATTAGGCCTACAGTGTTGTTACAATTGTTTCATGTAGTATAATTACTATAAATTGTGCAGGAACTAACCTTAAACAAACCCTATATGCAGTACATGTAGGCTATAGTTAATCATTTTAAGGTGTGTATTTTAGGACACCTTAAAGTAACTAAACAGTAACTACAGTAACTAAAATTTCTTTAGCGATCACATGTGCACACTGTGACATGCTGCTACAAAACTACAGTACACATGACTCATATAAAAATAATGTGTTTAAGTCATTTGTCTCAGCTTCCCTTCTTTCTTCAGTTTTGAAGGTGTTTTAAAAACCAAACTGCTTCAGCAGGAGTGCCATTTTACTTGGTCTCTGAAAGAAGAAGACTTTGTTCTCTGTGATTTACTGAATCGTCTGGAGGAACAGATTCAGTTGGAGTTGGACGAGGCGAGAGTTACACGATCCTACAGCAGCTTTGGATTTGTTCAGTATCTTTATGGCAACCATCAGGAAGCACTCGCAAATCTGCAGAAATCTGTGCAGCTCGCAAAGGAATACTACAAAGACAGTGATGAAGTTCTTATTGTTACCTATGGAGACCTTGCCTGGATGCATTATCATATGAATGATTTTTCTGCATGTCAAGAGTACTTGGGACAGTTAGAGAGGATCCATAGAACATGTTCTGAAGGGCTCACTCCTACTGAGGTACTCAGAGAAAAGGGTTGGGCTTTTCTTAAATTCTCTCACAAATACTACCATGCTGCAAAGGAATGCTTTAGACAGGCCCTTGAAATGAACCCTGATGACAGTGATTTAAATACAGGCTATGCTATTGCCATGTACCGCACGACTAATGGGACCTCTGACCCCTCAGACTCTCCAACAATAAAACAGCTCGAAAGAGCTATAGAGCTTAATCCAGATGATGGTGTACTATTGGTGTTGCTAGCACTGAGAATGCTGCATAACAAAGATGATAAGAAGACGCTCAAAACTGCACAGCTAAAAATGATTAAGGCTCTGGTTATTTCCCCTGAAAACCCACATGTCACAAGATATGCTGCAAAATTTTGTCGGCAATTAGGAGACACGGACGCTGCCATTTCTCTACTGGAAGAAGCCCTGCAGGCTACCCCAAACTCAGCCTTTATACACCATCAGTTAGCTATGTGTTTCAAAAAAAAAAATCTGGAAATGAAATATAGGACACCTGGGAAAACAGAGTTTGATGGTAATGAAAAACAGCAATACCTGGAGAAGTGCATCTATCATCTGAAGAAGGCGATTGCCCTAAAGCCCTCTTTCGTTATTGCCAAGGCAGATTTAGCACTGCATTACGGACAACTGCATGGATGTGGCAACTTAAAAGCTGAGAGACTTTTTGAAGAAGCATTTAAAATGGCTAATGAAAAGCAAGACCTGCAGATAGTTCATTGTGTTTATGGTCAATACCAGCTCTACATCAAAAAATCTGAAAAACTGGCCATCTATCATTTCATGCAAGGTCTGAGGCTGCAGCCGAATTCAGAGCAAGGCAGGTCATGTGAGGAGTACCTGAAGAAGGTGATTGAACATCGCATTAAAAGGGTTAAAAACCCGAATGACAGTGAGGTGTGTGCTATACAAGGATTCATTCATGAAGTGAAGAATGAAAAACTCAAGGCTGAAGAGTTTTATAAGAGAGTCCTAACAAGTGGGCTTGATTTTGGTAAATATTTTATACACTTAAATGCTTTTTTTTAATTAAGGGGTTGGATTATTTGAAAAACACTGATCTGTTAAAAAAAATTCTAATGTTCTAGAATGTAGGCCTACACATCTTATATGTATATCAATCTTTACACAAAATGAAGGCAAGTTGCTTTAAATATCTAGTTGTCAATATTGTTCAACTATTTAATATAATGGATTTAGTAAAAACTATAGTTGACATCTTGAACGTTTATGTTTAAATTGTTATGATCCATAAACTAGGTTATTGATTAAGAATGTTGTCAAGTGTTTAATACATGTTTTAATTATTTTAAACCAACATTTTCACATTTCTTAATGAAATTTTCACAATTTTGGCTACCATGATCACATTTTTCCTGCAGTAAAGTCAAGTGTTTAGTTGATGGGAAAAAAATATAAAAAAAAAAAATTATACAAATGTTTGTTTTTAGGTGAAAGCTGTCTTCTAACAGAGAGGAGGATTTGGCTCATGAGTTTCAGTGAAACAGAAAAATCTGTTCTAAAGCTGATTTTTGATGGAGGAAGTTATGAAGAAGTTGGCAGTGGTAGGCTTAAGAGTTTCAAAGGTTCAATGAACAAAAAGAGTGTGCACTTGGTTGATATTGATATATGCAATGCCAAGAGGATTCTTAGATGGGAAAATCTGACTCCTGGACCTCATGCCATTCTGCTCACATTTCTTCTGCATGATGGCCAATTCACAGACCAGACCAGAGAGATTTTTGAAAATTTAGAGTTTCTTGGAGAGAAATTTTGGAATCACGTCATTGTGTTATTTATAGAGGGAGACTGTAGTATAAACGATTATACTGGATCTCAAAGAAGCGTATTGGAGTGGCTTCATGAAAAATGTGGACACAAAACCTACATCTGTGGCTCTGGACCAGACATTGCAGAAAGGATAGAGCTTTCAGAGAGGATACAGAGGATGATCTGGGGAAATAAATCAATGCATCTGGTATTACCAGAAATTTCAGATGGAGATTCTCAGTCCCCTTCAGACATTTTGAGGGTAAGTTTCAAGATATCTTTGCGAATGCAAATGTGGTTTTATAATGACTAATTTGTAACTTAAGCAGTTTTTATTTTTCACAGAACCTAGATGTAAGAGATTGTTTGTTCACTCCCGAGGTCATCTTTCACGAGGGGCAAAGTAAATACAGGTATCTATATCTGCAAACAGGTGAAGTAAGCTAATTTAGTATATTAGTTTGCATTCATATTTAATATTTCTTTGAAATAGGTTACAGAGCAGCCATGCAGGCTGGTTCCATTGTGAGTTTACAAAGCTTGGTTTTTACATGAAGGGGGAAGGGGAGGTGCTGTACAACACTGTTCTTCAGGACAGTGACTGTCCAATCCCTGCCAACCATTACCAAGCAGGACCCCTGTATGATATCAAATGTGTCCAGGGTGTGCTGTCTCAACTCAGTCTACCTCACTGTGAGACCTCCATTGGTGAGTTGGCAATCTTATGAACATTATGAGAGATACTGAATGTAATCTGTGCATAATGCAAAGTCCAAAAAATCCACTTTAAATATATATAACACTAACTTATATTTAACTTATAACTCATATTTAAATTTTCAAAATGTAAAAGAAGTAGCAAAAAATGTGAAATGTTTTCTTTAATTATTTCAGAGGATGCCTACCACTTCATGTCCGCTATACATTGCTCTGATCAGATTGTTGACATTCTGAAACCTCAGAATATCACAAGCACACATGTGACAGTGAGCATCCCAGGAACATCAAAGTTTTTACTTTTGAAAATACAAAACTTGTTTACGGATCATTGGTTTGAGATATGCGGCCAAGTGATGCTGTTCTACATAAAGAAAGCACATAAGCTGCATGTGTTTCTAAAACCACGCAATGTGGACCCCAGAGAAGTATGTTTTTGAATTAATGTGTTAATTTTTTTTTTACATTATTTTGGCGGACTTTATAAACAAATTAGATTTTCTCTGTTTTTTTCAGGTGAGAAAATCTAATAAAGATTATACACTAATCCAGTCAGCTTGTGAATGCATGCTCACATATAACTGTGAATACAGCATGTCCTGTGATCCCGTTGAGGAACATGAACTTTCAGAGAGGCCAGTATCAACAATACAACCGTCGGTCAGTGTGATTTAGAATAAGAATAAGGCATGGTGAACATGACAATTTTCTCTTTTACATTTTCTAATGAATCATGGGGGAATCATGTATCAAATAGTTTATATACAACCCCATTTCCAGAAAATTGGGAGATTTTATAAAATGCAGTAAAATCAAGAATCGGTGGTTTGTCAATTCTCTTGAACCTTGTTCAAAGAAAAGATTTCCAATCTTTTCACTGACCAACTTTATTGTATTTTGTAAATTTATATCTTTTTTTGCCTGCAACATACTACAAAAAGGATAGGATATAGGCAAAAAGTGAAGATATTAGAATATACAACTTAAACTGTTTTAAAACAGTCCATTGAAGGTATAATGATTGGTACAAAAGGAGCATCTCAGTTGGGTTATGGCTATCACCACTTTGTGCCAAATTGCGTGAGAGATTTGTCAAACAATTCAAAAATCACATTTCTAAATGCGAGTTAGCAAAGAATTTAGGTCTTTCATATTGTCAAACGTTTCAGGGAATCCAGAGGAATCTCAGTACATCTAGGACAAGGCAGGAAACCTCTGCTGAATGTGCGTTACATGAGAAACTGTCATGCACACACATACTGTGTTAAATACAGCCATATGTGCTCGGGAATACTTAGGAAAACCATTGTCACTTAAGTCAAGTCATCCTCATTTATATAGCGTTTTTAACAATATAGATTGTTTCAAAGCAGCTTTACAGAGATAAACATATAATTTAAGTTAACAGAGATTGATTTTATTTTATTGTGAAGTTCTTGAATAATGCTATTTTCCAGCTAAAGTTAGTTTTGATTGATTCACTTCCATTGAAATGATCATTTGTTATTAAATTAGGGTCCGCTAAGATGACACCGTTCTCTTTTTACAGACTTTAACAGGGAATCTGTGATAAACGCTTATGGTGTTCACATGCGCATTAAGAATTCATTCTATAGTTATGTGCGTGTGAATATATGCGCAGGTTTGTAATTCCCTAAAAACCATGCCTAGACAAACTACTAGTCTTGCCTATAAATTTTGATACAGAATTTTATTTTATCACTTCGGGGTAGGTACGTGAACCGTAATTTCCACAACGCTTTATCTGTAGAGTGGGAGAGGGATCCTCCATAGGGTGAGCACTTCAGCACTGCATTGTCATCAGGTCAAAGGTTCAGCTGTGCTAGTAATTGTGTTTTTCCCGTGTTTCCATTTTTCTTTCTTACTGCTTTTACTTTCATTTTATTCCATATATATTATACGCTTATTGTCTCTGCCTGTTGATCACAAAACAAAGCCTCTTTAATATGCGATCCTAAGCAAGCTGATATTGTTAAGTGAACTGACCTGTTTAGTAAACTTAAGCTAAGAATAAACCATTGAGAATTGATAGCATCTCCAGCCAAGGAGCCCGGCGGACGAGCTGACTCGGTGAAGTGCGGTTAATTCTATTATGGTATTCTGAAACGATCAGTAACCCGTCTGAATGGGATATATATTCTTAATTAATTATAATTTGTTGTGTTTAATTACTTATATGTATCTGAAGCAGACCTGTATACTGTATAAACCCTTTTTGGGTGATTGATTACGTACAAACCTGGTTCAAATCGTATTCAATAACTTTTGATCAGAGATTAAAAGGATTGCATACTTTTTCCCCGAAATTAACCAGAGATCCCCTACACTAGGTATTATCAACTGGCCAGAACTTTGAGATCGTAATAGACATGACGGACTATAATATGTTAAGAGCTCGCTCAAATACTGCAAAGCTAAACCATTTAGTGCTTTGTAAGTAATCAGATTTAAATTTAAAATTTATACAATGTTTATTAGGCAGCCAATGCAGTGTTGTCAGAACTGGGCTAATATTGTCATACTTCCTGGTTCTGGTAAGAACTCGAGCTGCTGCGTTTTGAGCTAGCTGTAGTTTGTTTATTAAGCGTGCAGGGCAACCACCCAGTAGAGCATTACAATAATATAGCCTTGAGGTCATGAGCGCATGAACTAATTGTTCCACATTTGTCAATGAAAGCATATGGCGTAATTTAGATATATTTTTAAGATGGAAAAACCTAACGAAACTTACAAATTCACGAAATTAATGGAATGCATTGCTAATTGGATGACTAGTAATTTCCTATTACTAAATTCTGAAAAAACAGAGATTCAAATTATTGGTTAAAAAACTTGGGAACCTGGATCCTGGAACCTGGGTGTGCTCTTTGATAGCAATCTTTCATTTAAAAATCACTTGTATCTTGTATCTGTAAAATTTGCCATCTTAAAAATTTCCATCATTTTGATGTTTCAAACATTCCAGTAATCCCAGTCAATAAGTGTAAAGGGGAGACAATTACATTTTAAAGCATCAGTGTGAAAACAAACCTTGAAAGAGACATGAAGATTTGGGAAGAAAAACAAGAGATTCTTAGTGCATTCCAGAGAATCACTTATTGTATATACCGTGAATTAAATCGAGACAGCAGACCACAAATGTTGTATTTTTCAAACTGTCACAGCAGAATACAAAAGGAAAAAAGAAAACAATCAGGCAGAATAGAAATGCAGTGTCTGAAAAGAGCTCTTGTCATAGATATTCTTGTTATACCAAGTCACATTAAAATACCAAGCATTATGACATTCTCTTGATGTCTGAAACTAGAAGGACATTTTCCTTAGAAGGAAAGTCAAACTGAAAGATAAGGATTATATGTCACACAACCTTATGATTTGAAATTATTTATTTCAGTCTAATTTAAATGACCATCTGCTCCTTTAAAAACTCATTTTCAATCTGACAAATTTTTTTTAAGTTAAGACTGTCTATATGTTGTATTCTATTTTAAATCAAATGAGACAATTAGCAGTAACAAACAGTCTTGTTACAGTGCTTTTTAATATTTAAACTCATTTGACCTCTCTTTCCTTTGGAAGTGCACGAAGCTTCGTTACAATAAGAAGGGGAAACCTTTCTATCCAACATTCGACATAAAGTTACCAAATGGCGTGATGAATGTGGGATTACGCCTGAAAAAGAAAAAGCACAAGAATGGAGAGTTTCAAGTTGAATGGAGTCTTGACATACCACTGGCAGGTAAACTGTGTGTTACTGGAAATGTAGAAGGGTTTAGGAATTAAATAACTGACAGTAATTTCCATCAAGCCATTATATGTTCAATATACATGCTAGACTGTAATAATATGAGCACTGCACAATGTAAAATCTGCATGAATTGTTTAATGATTTTACTCATCATTTAAATCAAGAGATTATATTTACAGTTAATCTCTAAAGAGTTGAAATGAAGACATTACCAACTTTTTCTCTTACAGACTATACAGCAGAAAACAGTGGACTGACATCAACTGATGAGCGTAAGAACATACATTTAACACAAATGTTATGTTTACATTTGCTATTTTTGATTAATCCCACTTGTAAGAGCGTGTCATTCATCCAAACCTAAAATTGTTTTCATTCGGTTATTGAAAATGTGTAACTTTCACACAATTGCAAGTTTCAAAACAAAAGCCCACAGGGACATGAAATGACAAAATATGAATTTACTTTTCATTTAGACATTTTAACCAGCAAGTTATACGAGAAAAATGTCTCTCTTTGCATTTAAATATGCTGAATAAAATACTGTAAGTGTACTGTAACATTACATTACCTGCTCTAATATCACTGAAGACATGACATTACTATTGGTTTCTGGCAATTTTTAAATAGGAGTGCTAAAACTGAAGTCAATGATACTTCAAGAATTGTATAAAGCTATTATATACAGTAATCCCAGTTGTTGTATACTTATGTACTGTAAGAGCAGAGAGAATCTTGCATAGTATACTAATATTCTTACCCAAATAACCTTATGACCTTTATAGATTAGGTTACATTTATTTCATAATCTCTGCATTATAGATCTTCTAAATAAGACCCTTTACTGTTTGTGTGTTACTAGCCTGGCTAACGCCTGACCACGTATCATTGAGAATGAAACGTGGTCTGGAAACCAGAGGCGTGGTTTACGAATGCCCAGAGCCGAATGTCTATCAAATGCGCCTGTACGTCTATCAAATGCGCCTGTGCTCCCTCAAGTTCTGTGATTGGTTCCCTATTTCAGGGGAAAATTTGGTTCATGGTATCCAGACTGCCTAGCAGCGCGAATAAAATCGCGCTGCGGCAAGGTAGAATGGGGAAACCCACCCAGGCTAGTGAGTTACTGGAATTGTAGAAATGTTTAGGAAGTAAAAACCTGACAGCAATTTCCATCAAAGCCATTGGATACTCTTTTATATGTTTAATATGCTAGATTGCAACAATATGAGCACTGCACAATGTAAAATCTGCACAAATTGTTTAGCAATTATACTGATTATTTAAATCAAGGGATTTATATTTACAGTTTATCTCTAAAGAGCTGAAAATGAAGACATTACCAACTTCTTATCTTACAGCAGAAAACAGCGGACTGAACCATTCACGCGATGAGCGTAAGCACAAAAACTTAACACAATCTTAGCCATTTTATTTACATTTGCATCAGCTGTTTTTGAATCACAGCGGAACAAAATATTAACTTTATTATATCTTACAATCATTTATACTATATTATTAATGATTGTTGATTCTTCTACAGGTGTTTCCTTTCTGCAAATCAATAGAATAGCACTCATCAAAAGGGTCATAAATGTTGAAGCTGTTATAGATGGCCTTGTTGGGATCATTGAAAGCGAACCGTTAAGTGAAATCAAGGCAATGTTAATATCTCAACATAAAATGAGGAGAATCTTTGAGATCATAGAGAAACAAGGTGTTTCGTCACAACGGAAGTTTTTCAACTTGCTTTGTGAAGTCGAAAAGGCTCTTATGGAAGACATAAAACAGGAACCAGAAAACAACGAAAGCAACAAATGCATGTGAGATGAACAACAGACTGTAAATGTAATAATTTATGTTCAAACTCCTGCTATAACATCTGTCAAAATATTTTATATTGTCATTTATCTGTGAACCTGACAGTCTTTTAATATTTTGGAGTGTAATGCTACTGCTTTGATGATAGAATTTCTATTTTTGGGTGAAATATCCCTTTATTTAGTCACACTCTTGTTTTTATAAACCTGAATGAGGTTATTTGTTCTGCTGGACACAAAAGAAGATATTTTGCTGAATTATATTTTGGCACCATTGACTTCTATAAGGGGAAAATTTGGAAGTCAGTGGTGTCCCACCTATTTGGTTGTCAAAATTTCTCAAAATATTATCATTTGTGTTCATCAAAAAGAAAGGTATGCAGGTTTGGAACGAATTAAGGATGAGTAAATTATGACAGAATTTAATTTTTTAGGTGAACTGTCACTTTATTGTGTAATGTAGATTGTGATCATGGGTTTGTTCAGGACAATCACCTATATGAATAATTGCAAGTAATTGATTCAGAAGTAGAAGTGAAATTTAGAAATCCTATTTTTCCTTCAATATAAAAAGGTGCTGGTGATTTTTAAAATAATACACTTTTGATAAATCATATGTATATCAAGTTTGAAGGAACCTGCTGAGAGTGTGTTTTTATAAGCAATTTTGTTCAGCTATTTTTGCATTTGTAATTGAAACACAACTGATATACCTGTTGTTGTTGTGGGGCAATGTGGTTTATTCATTAAATTATTTTAATTGGCTAAATATAAAAAAAGTTATTCAATGTTTAATTCATAAAGACAGATGTCCCACTGTACTGAGGGTCCTCAAGCCAATAAATGGTGTGATGATTTTTTTTAAATAAATATGTTTTAGCCTACCCTTTTTTTGTATTTCCTAACCTTATTTATATTAATGTTATAGAGCATGTAAGTTTGTGCATGTTTTTGTGGTATTGTTACATGGTTTGAATGCGACTAAAACAACAACAACTCTATTTCTAGTGTCATCATAATAGGTCACCATGCAAAAACAAAACTCAATTTCCCATGAACCTCACGTTCACGTTCAGCCCCGGAAGTAGATTCTTCTCTTACTAGCATGGCGCAAATGAATACTTTTCTATAATAATTGCTACGACTGGTGAATTTGCAACTTAGTGAATTATAAGAATATGTAATTCCAACGTGAGAAGTTATCAAAAGAAGTTCTGAGTAAGGTAAAATACGTTTTGTGCTTTTTAACTGTTTCCATGCCTAAAAGATTGGTAGCGTCAGTGCTAACCGACAGGTATTTACCACAGACAGTAGCCTAAAATAAGATTTTAATCACATTTTATAGAATTTAAAAGGATTTCTCTTGAGTAAGTTTTATTTCTCTGCCAAACTTATTTACTAAATATGCTATTTTATGACAGCCAGGAAGCCTGATTTATAAGATGAAGTCATCTAGCTACCATTAGTCCATTCTTAATTCTGAGTTAGTTCTGTGTGAGAAATCATCGAGCTATTTTTTATTAATGTTTCAATATGTAACGTTAAGTTACTAGTTCTAATGATGTAAGCACTTTTATCTGCATCATGCATGGTCAGTGATTCACCTAGCATTTGTCTCGCTTAGCTGTAACGTTAACTTACCTCAGGTACATTTTTAAAAACTCGTCCCAGTCATTCATTAAAAAACCTAATATTGTTTTCATTCGGTTTGAACATTATTCATTTTCACATAAGTGCACGTTTCAAACATAAGACAACCGAAACGTGTAATGAAACAAGAACTTATTTAGTCATTTTAACCAGCAAGTTTATGCGAGAAAAGATCTCTTTTTGCCCTTAAAGATGCTGAATAAAATAGTGTAAGTGTACTGTTTAATGTTACATTACCTCATTAAATCATGCTCTAATATCAGAGAAAACATGACATTGCTATTATGCATTTGTTCATGTGTAAATTGAGTGCTAATACTTGTAACGTTACTTAAAAGCGATACTTCAACGAAATGTGTAAAACTATTGTATGCATCTTCCATATTTATTAGTACTCATGCCTAAATAATCTTATGGCTTAATTGACCTTTAGATTATTAGGGCAATCTCAGTTGGCAATCTATTCCACGATAAATCATCTATTTACCACATGGTCAACAAGTTCTTTAGACACACCTCAGGTGTCTGCTTCTTTGACAGTTTTGTAACCGGTTTCTTGCTTCGGCTTGTATGTTTGGTGTGTGCTCTATGTCAGAGGGGAAAAAGAGGCAGTAGATGTTTTACAGGAGTAGCTGTATTAACATTAAGTGACATGGGGAAATCTCTTTTCATCACTACATACATTAGAAGTCAGAAATTTAATTCTTTAGGAATTTTTGTTTCTAAAAATGTTTTTAGGAATAAAAAAGAAATGTTATTTGAAAGATATATGAAAACTCTATAAAATCCTTAAAATAAAAATAAATAAATAACAAAACTGTACAGTTTGGTGCTATTGTAGTAGTGATTTCTGGATCAGTGCATGAGGGGAAAAACTAACTTTGAGATAACAGGAGTTAAAGATATATGTTGTAAATTGCAGATGAACATTTAAGGGTTTTTTTTTTTTTGGTTTTATTTATTTTTCTTTCACATAGTCTGAAATGTTATGGAAACAAAATAGCCCCAAATCTCAAAATTGATCAGTTCAAGAAAACAAAATGGTTGCTGTATCTTGCCTCAAGAGAGGGTTGATTAAAATGATGTTCAGTTGTATTTAATTTACTAAGAATGTAAGAAAAGGAAAAGTGCATTATATTGTGAAAAAAATGGCAGGTATTTCTAGATGAAGCACTTCTTAGATGTTTTTTTTTCTGTTAGGGGATATTTATTTTCTTATTATTGAGCATATACCTCAATGTTCTATATGTGATATGGAAAACAAACATTCCACATGTTAATGTTTGAAGAACAAGATTATTAGTGAGTTTTGTATTAAAATATGATAATTGTTCTAAATGAAGAATGTAGTGTGAATTAAATTTATCTTCCAGCCTCCAGTTAAATGGCTGTTGCTGTTGTTCACCATGACTTTACATGAGATCCAAGTAATATAAAATTAAGCTATTTGCAAAATCGAAATTGTGCACACCCTTAATTTCTTAATTAATCTTTACTTAGAGATTAAAGTCGATAGTCTTTTCTCTATTGTGACACTGACGTTTATCTGAGTGCTTCCCGAACAAGAAAAAATGTGGGGTGGGAGTCGTGGGACTTAATTTTGTCCTTGTTCTCTGGATGTTTGTTGCTTGCTATTGGTGGATCTCATGTGATTGACAGGTTGATTAAATATTATATTATAGGGCATATAAAAAAAAAAAGATGTGCACGAATAAATCATTTATAATAAATATACTGTAATATTCTATAAATAAAAAAAATGTCCTTGTGTTTTTCTTGGTGACTTTAATAATTTGTGAATCTTCTATGAAGACCTGTCATTATCTTTCCTTTAGATTTTTTCACAATGGCGTCAGGCGTGGGAGAACAAGCACGTGGGAGCGTGAGCTCCCAGCTATACACCAATGAGGAAAACACAGCCTTAGACATGACCACCAGCGAGAAGGTAACACACTGGCCATCATTACTTATTACTGAGTAACAACACTAGTTATAGCTGTTTTTTTTTTTTTGTTGCAAATGTGAGATTTGGCAATTTGGCATGGATTGTATTTCTCCCTCAGGTGGTGGAATTGCTAAACCAGGCGGCCCTCATCTCTACAGAGGAAAAGCTTATTGTCCTCAAACAGGTTTTAAAATCCTTTCCATATTGTCATAAATATAAAAAAATCAAATGTTTAGCGTTCATGGTTATGTCGTTTTATTATTAGGTACAGGAGCTGATTATCAACAAGGACCCTTCATTGCTTGATAATTTTCTGGATGTAAGTTTCAGAATCCATACAATCTTAACCAGCTTGTGTAAATGTTGCCTACACAAAAATTAAATGAATATTTTCTGCTTTTATCCATTCTCAACAGGAAATCATCGCATTTCAGACTGACAAGTCAATAGAGGTGCGAAAGTTTGTCATCGGGTTCATTGAGGAGGCAAGGTGAGTGTTGGCCGGTGCGCTTGTAATCATTCAGTGTGTAATACTTTGACCAATACTTCATGACCACTTGCTTTTTGTTTATTCAGCAAAAGAGACAATGAGCTTCTGCTGAGGCTGATTGCCAACCTGAACATGCTGATGAGAGATGACAGTGTGAATGTGGTGAAAAAGGCCATTCTGACGCTCACTCAGCTATATAAAGTGGCTTTACAGGTATTAAGTCGTTACACAGTATTTATTGTTAAACTGGGCTGATGTTTTTAGCTGTCTGACATTGTCTTTGTTCGTTCTGATAGTGGCTAGTACGCACTAAGAGTGTGACGGACATGCAGGAGGCATGCTGGGATATGGTGACCCAGATGAAAGAGGATGTTCTGGCATTGCTGGATTCCGATAACGACGGAGTCCGCACTCACGCCATCAAATTCACAGAGTCCCTCATCATCACTCTTTCACCACGGACACCCGACTCCGACACGCCCAAGAAGCAGGAGGGAGACATCAGCCTGGACAAAATCCCCAAAGACCACACATATATTCGATATGGTTAGAGCAGAGCATCATTAATAAAAAATAAATAAAAAAAAAATCAAATTCATACAGGGCTCTACGATTAATCGAAATGATAAAGAAATCTCAATATTGCTTTAAAAAGTAGATTTGTAATTTTACAGTTGTGTATTGATGCGGTAGATTAAAATATATATTTTTGTTTTCCTGTCAAAACAGAGTTCATTTGGAATTATTCAGCCTTTAATAGCATGCAAAAGCCGCTGCCGGTTTCTTTGCTAGTGGGCAGAAATAATGAGCAAGTGCTCGCCTATTACCGTCCCTGTTTTGATTTTAGCAAATCAGTTTGATCGAACACAGACCAATGTGATTAATATATATTTTAATTCTTCCTCACTTCCTCCTGTCCTGCTCTAAGACACTTTATGCGAGGAGGGTAAGTCGGCTTTGGAGCAGTTGTTAAAGTTCATGGTGCACCCTGCCATCTCCAGCATTAATCTAACCACTGCACTGGGATCACTGGCAACTCTGGCCAGACAGCGGCCCATGTTCATGTCTGAGGTGGTGCAGGCCTATGAGACGCTACATGGTGAGTTCTGTTTACTGACGTTATTCAGAGCTTTGAACTCAAATCGAATCATTTCTTTTGTTCTTAATCTCTTTTACTGTGTCCCCCAGCTAACCTGCCCCCGACTCTTGCTAAGTCTCAAGTGAGCAGTGTGCGCAAGAACCTGAAACTGCATCTGGTGGCGGTGCTAAAGCACCCCAGCAGCGTGGACTTCCAGGGCCAGATTTCCACTCTGCTGCAGGACCTCGGCATGTCTCAGAGCGAGATCACCCGCTGCACGCCAGCCATCGTACAACCCCGTAAGAGACTCCACCATGAGCCGTATGTTGAGGGCAAGAGGATCAAGATGGGTGAGTGGCAGTTTTAATGAGCTGGATTGCTCATTGTTTGGTGTGGATCAAACAGGTTTTGAAAAAAAGGGGAATAATGCCTTGTTTGTGCTTGCAGAGGGCGCTCTAGTGGAGGATGATGAGGATAAGGAGGAACCAGCTCCCGTCGTCACTCCAAAACCTTCCTCCTCCGTTGGCACCCAATCAGCCATCGATGTCACTGCTGAGTTCCTGTTGCCTCTGCTGTCCCCAGAGAATGTGGCCAACCTGGTGCGTACTGTGGCTAAGCTGCTCGGTCCATAACATGTCTGGTCTGAAATACAGTTAGCAAGTGTGTTGTTCCTCTTGGATTTTGTGTGTGGCAGGATTGGTTGAGGAACTAAAAATGTGATTC